CAGGGCGTGGCTTGGAGCAACGGCGTTATTGACAAATTGAGTCACCAATGCCAGGAAGATCAAACATAGATCATGATGAACATTGAACATTGATGAACATTGATGAACATTGATGAATCATGATTTCGCTGAAGGCATATTCTCAGGGTATCCTCACGGTGCCATTGTGTATCATTCGGAGTCCTCTCACCGGCCTCCGGAATCCCAAGGCCATGTTGCTGCGCAATTTCGGTGTGATGAAATGGGCCATGGGTTTCCATAAGGAAAGTCTGGAGCTTTTCGAAGAGGTGCCAATGGGTAAAATGCAGTTGGGCCTATACCCCTCAAAATGGCAATCTTTTGTTGGGGAGAAATGGTGATTGAACTGATATGAACTGGATTCAGAAGGTTCCTCTGGTTGTTTTTTTGAGCAGCAAGATCTTGACAGACCTGTACCATCATAAAAAAAAAAAAACAGGACTGACTGAAACAGACAACTGCAACCTATCAGGCCAAGCGGGTGCGCAAATGTGGCCATCTCAGTCAGTTGATGTCCAGCATCGCCCTGTTGGGTGAAAGAACCGAGGCACTGGGTGCTTTTGCGGAGCTCATGCAGCTGTACTGATGCCGCTGCCCAATGGTGTGGCTGTGTTTGATGGCAAGAAAATATATGAAAGCATATGAAAGCATAAGGCATACAACATCAGCAAGGCAAAAAAGACCTAGCTGCAACCAGTTGGTGGGTAGTGTCAGATGAGTTGGCCAAAATCATGGACAGAAACAGGTATTGAGCCACAAATCGCAAGTTCGATGGTCCAACCCTGCACCCAAATCCCATAAGATCATATACGATCGGTATGCAAAGTGTTTGGGTGTCCCCAAAAACCCAATTCCATCCCCAAAGCGATGGAAAAACGATGCTCCACTATGTTCTCCACTATTTTGATGATGATTAATTTTCAGAGTTCCTAAGTCTCTAGGATGGAGGGGTTTCAAAATATTTTTTTTTATGATTTATTTATGATTTGAATACGATTTCCATTTATGATTTTTTTATGGGTTCAAATTGTGGTTATGATTTTTTTATGGTTTGGATATGTTTTTTTTTATGGTTTTGGATATGATTTTTTTATGGTTTTTTAGTCCTCAGAATCTGGTTTTCAGCTAAAAACTCGAGAAATTTTCGATTTTTTTATGATTTTGCTAGAGTTTCCTTTTCCCCAAAGCCTTTTCAGCAGAAAATTTGATTTTGGAAGCAAAATCGTAAAAAAATCGTAAATGCATCCAAGGTCCCCAGAATCTGGTTTTCAGCTAAAAACTCGAGAAATTTTCGATTTTTTTATGATTTTGCTAGAGTTTCCTCTAGGAAAATCGTAAAAAAATCGTAAATGCTTCCAAGGTCCCCAGAATCTAGTTTTCAGCTAAAAACTCGAGAAATTTTCGATTTTTTTACGATTATTTTACGATTTTCGTAGAATTTCCTCTTCCCTGAAGTCTTTTCCACCAGAAAATTTGATTTTTACAGAGAAACTCTAGCAAAATCATAAAAAAATCGAAAATTTCTCGAGTTTTTAGCTGAAAACAAGATTCTGGGGACCTTGGATGCATTTACGATTTTTTTACGATATTTTTACGATTTTGCTTCCAAAATCAAATTTTCTGCTGAAAAGGCTTTGGGGAAAAGGAAACTCTAGCAAAATCATAAAAAAATCGAAAATTTCTCGAGTTTTTAGCTGAAAACCAGATTCTGAGGACTAAAAAAAACAGAAAAAAAACATAAACAAATCATATCCAAAACCATAAAAAAAACATATCCAAACCATAAAAAAATCATAACCACAATTTGAACCCATAAAAAAATCATAAATGGAAATCGTATTCAAATCATAAATAAATCATAAAAAAAATTATTTGCCAAAAATGGCATCCTAAAGGATTTAAGAAGTCTGAAGATTAATTACATGTCCAGAAATCTCCATTTGTTTATGGGTGCTGGCCTTCCTGCCGTCGCTCAGCGCCGACGCAGATGCCGAGGATGAACATGGGCTACGCCAAGGCCGAACTGGGCGACTTCCAAGGATCCCTTGAGGTCGGAGCCATGGTGCCATGCAGCAGTCTTGGGTGGTACCTGGTTATGACTAACATAGCCATGGTTAAGCAATGGCCCATAGAAATAGATGGTTTGGCCTGTTAAAAATGGTGAATTTCCATGGCTAGGCTATGTTAAATAACAAGATGGTATATATAATATATATATACACGTATTTTATGTGTGTATATATATATACATGGGATATGATATGCATCTTTGTGAATAAAAAAGAAAGAAAGATAGATACATAGGTAGGTAGATAGATGGATAGAAAGATAGATGGATAGCTAGATAGACAGATAGCTAGATAGATAGAGGATAGATGGATAGAGATAGAGATAAATAGATATAGATATAGATAAATATAGATATAGATATAGATATAGATGTAGGCAGAAGTATATAGATATAGATATAGATATATAGGTAGAAGTAGATAGATATAGCTAGATATAGATAAATATAGATAGATGCAGATAGATGTAGATAGATATAGGCAGTCAGAAATATATAATCACACGCACACACACAGATGTATGTATGCATATGTATGTATATGTATTCAATGGTGTCACCTATGGGCAGGAGATATTTTCAGGGTACAGAATTTATGGATTTTCGGTGCTGTGCGCAGGCTTTCCAGGAGGTACTGGCACTGCTGACAGTGGGATCAGTGTGGGGCTTGGCTGCGTATCTTGCCTGTGGCTTTGCCTAGAGATACGGTACCCCAAAACTCTTGCGCATTATCATCATTTCCCCATTGAAGGTCGGACAAGCTTATATTCAGAGGACATCATAGGAGTTAATACCAACCGAGACCGTAGAAAGGAGTGGTTGCTGATGTACGTTTTGTTTTTTTTTTTTTGCAGCCATGAGGAATTGCTCCCAGTGTCACAGATGGGAAACTCCGCCTCTCCACTGAGGCTTCCTCATCCATGACTTTTGGTGACAGCAGCTTTGCCTCTTGGCGGGCAGGATCCAAGCTGGACCAATGTGGACAACCCCAATGATAGGTGTCCTTTTTTAAGTCTGTTTAAATTAAACACCAAGAGATAGTCAAAACAGGGTCTGGTCCATCATGATTCATCATGGTTTATCATTTTGAATAAACATGATCTGGTTAGGTTTAATTAACCCATGCTAAGATAAACCATTAATCATAAACCACATTCATTATCAAGATCCAGCAGCTTTGGATAAGGCTTTGCCAGATCCCTTGGACACCATGCCATGTGGCGTCAGCAACTCAGGGCACCGATGAGGGGCTGTTGATCACGGTACAATTTTAGTAGCAGATGACATAATGGGGTGGGGTAAACCCCTAATTCATTAACCATGGTTTACGATTCAGAGTTCCTAAGTCTCTAGGATGGAGGGGTTTCAAAATAATTTTTTTTATGATTTATTTATGATTTGAATACGATTTCCATTTATGATTTTTTTATGGTTTTGTGGTTATGATTTTTTTATGGTTTGGATATGATTTTTTTATGATTTTTTTATGGTTTTTTTAGTCCTCAGAATCTGGTTTTCAGCTAAAAACTCGAGAAATTTTCGATTTGTTTATGATTTTGCTAGAGTTTCCTTTTCCCCAAAGCCTTTTCAGCAGAAAATTTGATTTTGGAAGCAAAATCGTAAAAAAATCGTAAATGCATCCAAGGTCCCCAGAATCTGGTTTTCAGCCGATTTTTTTATGATTTTGCTAGAGTTTCTCTAGGAAAATCGTAAAAAAATCGTAAAAAAATCGTAAATGCATCCAAGGTCCCCAGAATCTGGTTTTCAGCTAAAAACTCGAGAAATTTTCGATTTTTTTAATGATTTTGCTAGAGTTTCCTTTTCCCCAAAGCCTTTTCAGCAGAAAAAAATATTTTGGAAGCAAAATCGTAAAAAAATCGTAAATGCATCCAAGGTCCCCAGAATCTGGTTTTCAGCTAAAAACTCGAGAAATTTTCGATTTTTTTGTGATTTTGCTAGAGTTTCTCTGTAAAAATCAAATTTTCTGGCGGAAAAGACTTCAGGGAAGAGGAAATTCTACGAAAATCGTAAAATAATCGTAAAAAAATCGAAAATTTCTCGAGTTTTTAGCTGAAAACTAGATTCTGGGGACCTTGGAAGCATTTACGATTTTTTTACGATTTTCCTAGAGAAACTCTAGCAAAATCATAAAAAAATCGAAAATTTCTCGAGTTTTTAGCTGAAAACCAGATTCTGGGGACCTTGGATGCATTTACGATTTTTTTACGATTTTTTTACGATTTTGCTTCCAAAATCAAATTTTCTGCTGAAAAGGCTTTGGGGAAAAGGAAACTCTAGCAAAATCATAAAAAAATCGAAAATTTCTCGAGTTTTTAGCTGAAAACCAGATTCTGAGGACTAAAAAACCATAAAAAAATTAAAAAAATCATATCCAAAACCATAAAAAAAAACATATCCAAACCATAAAAAAATCATAACCACAATTTGAACCCATAAAAAAATCATAAATGGAAATCGTATTCAAATCATAAATAAATCATAAAAAAAATTATTTGCCAAAAATGGCATCCTAAAGGATTTAAGAAGTCTGAAGTTTACGAATCCAGAGTTGGCATTATAAGATTATAGATAGTACATAAGCATCACAAATTTATGAGAAATCCATCAGGACTTGTATGAATGATCCCATTTGCAGTTGGATCCAACCCGCCCAGAAATACAGAAAATGACGTAGTTACACTTTTCAATGTTGGATTCAGTCCCAAAGTAGGACACAGGGGCTGCGTCTTTGAGCACCAGGCCACCCTCATCAGCAGCATTGCCGTGGCCAAGGGAAATCTGGGCCGATACGCCCGGCACCACAGACTGTGACCTGCATGGGTTGACATGTGGCAGGTAGAATCTTCGCAGATGTCGGACATTTCTTTAGTTGTAGATCTATGAAAGCATATGAAACCATGTGGAGCTACAGATTGATGAGTCTCACTTCTGACACGCCTTCTTTTTTTGACCAAGGATGATGCCCTGCGTGTGGGCCTCGGTGTAGCTGCAAAGTTTAGCAAAAAACGACCGTTTTTTTCATATCCATCCCAATCAGGTGGAAACGGCCTATCAGCTGGGGAGGAATCACTAGAAATTTCTGATATTTTCTGATGTTTCACGCAGTTCTTATGATCTTGACCTATCAACATTCATAGTCATTCGCATTGAACAATTCTGGTATATTCTGGTGATTGTTTTCATGTGAGTCCTTCAGCTGCATCCAGCAGATTCCAGCTGTAAATTGGAGAGATGGGAGCCAACTTGCAGGTGCTTATTCTCGCGCGCAGCTCATTCGCAAGAGTACCAAGACTATGTGCTCACCCGTGGCCCTTGCCTGTACTCCAAAAAACATGACATAGGAATGATAGGATCATATACAGGGAAGATTTAACTATATAATAATATATATATACATGTATATGCCTGCGGACCGAAAACCGTGCCCGTAAAACGCACGTTTTTGAATGTCGCGATTGTGGGGTGGGGTGGGGGGGGCATGTTAACGTTCCTTGTACTTCGTACATGAAATATTGCCACGCTGCTGGCATCTCTGGGATCGTTTACTACGTTACATGTTGCTACGCTGCTGATGGGGTGGGGTGGGGTGGGGTGGGGTTGGGGGGGGCATGTTAACGTTCCTTGTACTTCGTACATGATATATTGCCATGCTGCTGAGATCTCTGGGATTGTTTACTACGTTACATGTTGCTACGCTGCTGCTGGGGTGGGGTGGGATGGCGGAGCGGCATGTTAACGTTCCTTGTACTTCGTACATGAAATATTGCTACGCTGCTGAGATCTCCGGGATCGTTTACTACGTTGCATGTTGCTACGCTGCTGAAAGTGGAATCTGATGAAAAAGTCAATTCCCAGCAACTTGAGTGCCAAAAGTGACCTCTTGATGGTGTATGCTAGAGCTTGGCAATGGAGATGCATTCACAAGAATGCTGACTGCCAGCTGATAACGGTGCATGCGTTGCAGCGATGACGCTGAAAAGCCAAAAAACGCGCCCTTTTCCAGGATTTCCAATCATCAAATCAGCACGGCACTGTGGTAAAATCACCATTTTTTTTTTTAAACGTGCGTTCTATGGGTACGGTTTCCGGTCCGGCGGGATGTATATGTATATATGTGTGTGTGCATTTTATATATCATACATTAGATCAAGTCTGCTGGATATTTGATGCTCCATTTTGGGATGCCGTGCCAGGCAGGTGCCGTGCTGTTGCGTAACAAGGGCATGGCCCATTTCGGACGCAAGGTGGGGAGATCAGTTCATTTCCATCGGTAGGATTTATATGATGATATATGATGATATATGGTGTATTATGTATTTTGATTATATTATATATATATATTATATATTATATATATATATATTGGTAGGTACATATGATTAAATGTAATATGAGATATAGATTTTGCATTTATATATGCATGTATGTGCGTGTGTGTGTGTTACGGCTGGGATTCCGTTGTTTTTGAGGCATCAACAAGAACCGACCTAAATCATAAAATGAGATTTAACTGGTGCTTATTGGTTCTTAAGTTGTCGGGTGGAAGTTCCATAAAAAATCGGTGGGGATCCAAATGATTTGTGGGATCATCAATCAAGACTAATCACATCAAATATTGGGGGTATATTGGGGTTTATAGTTATGATGCATGGCGAATATCAACGACATGCAGTGCCTCTAATGGGCAATAAGCACCCATAATCAGATGACTGATGACTGTCAGTATCCTTAATATCCATGGAGACGGAATAAACACAAGAAGCGCAGGGAGGATATCTCAACCAGTTTCAAGCTATGCCATCCTATGCCATCCTATGCCTACATGAATCATAGACCAAGACGAACGAAGGGGTTTGTGTTTTGAACCGCCAGGAGTATGCTGAGGCTTTGAGCGCGTACCTTGCAGCCAAGGAGAGCGGCCATGTTTGAACAACGTGGCTCAACCCAACGTGCTCAACTCCAATGTGCAGTTTATAAACAACATCCAGATTGTAACATGAAGTAGCATTTATTATCATTATATTATCATTGATTGCTAGTTTTTATATGTTTTTATATGTTTTTATTGGGTCCAAAAAATACCACATGTTGGATCCACATGGATTCCATGATCTTTGGCCCACAGGACATTCGTCAAGAGCTGGGACCTCGGTGACGTCAAATTGGCGTCGCATGGCGACCTCGCCCCATCGCCACGTCGCCACGAGGACGGGAACGCTGAAGACCTCTGGGGGAGCAAATCTTCTGAGCAATTTGGCCTCAGCCCGGGCGAAGACGGGTCAGGAACTCAAAGGATTGCATATATATTGATTATATATATTAATTATATATATTAATTATATATTTATATATAACAGCGATTTCGATTGGAAAATATGCAGTGAGGTTTTTCAGGGTTTTTCCAAGAATGTTTTGTTGAGGTTTCTTGAGGTTTTCCACCAATTCCTGGATGAACTCAACTGGAACAGTCGGCAGGTGATGGAATTGTGGCGGTGGAGGATTGCCAACGCGCGTGCGATCTTCACAAACAGGCTCTGAATTCTTGAAACAATGCCAGTGCCAATGCCCATGGCACATGCCATCGATATAGGTTGGAACCTTGCAGACGCCTGGTGGACAAGCAGTTTGGACACCCAGCGCAGCATTCCCACAAAAGTCAGGCCTGGTCACGATGCCAGAGTGAGGGCGCATCACAATATTAACAGTTTGCTCGTGCAGAATGTGTTCAAAAGTAGTGACTTACATTATCAAATGTCGTTTTATATTATATATTTACTAGATGTGACGTGTATTTTTGCATATTTGTGTAATACATTCCATGATATTCATAAATGAACTGTATATATATATATATTATTATTATATATTATTATTATTATATATTATTATTATTATTTTTTTTTTGCCATAAAAGAGACCATACCCATTGTGAGAAACTATCGATCCATTAAGCGTAGTTCCAATTCGCGTTCTGGCAGAGATATTCATAAATTCAGTGGGTACCATATGCTATTACATGCTACTATGGACTATTACATGCTATTATGTTTTATATTTATAAAACCCTCCGGTAATTCTATCCTGTGTTTTTTGTAATATACTCTCCGGTCATTTAGCATAGCTATGGAAGCCAAGGCCCATATAGTTCGATGATTTACTGTACCTATTCATTACCAAAGGGAAAATCCACAGTATGTTGGCTATCTCTCCAATTATATCCCCATGAATTAGTGACATAAACCTCCACTTCCAATTAGATAGTCCCAGTACATGCGTATAGTGCGTATAACTAACCATGTGGAAGTTAAAAAACCCAGTTTAACCAACTATCATGAAATATTTTAATGAGATATGTCCAATTGGATAAACGTTTTACAATTATGGTTAATTATTCTAAATGATAATCCAAACATAACTATATGTAGCTAAAAACATGTTATAATTCACATAGCCAGGTTTGATATATGACTACAGTCAGTTTATAATCACGAAAGGTAGCCTAGGCTACCTGAGTTCCATGCACTTTAGTACTAGGGCAACTAGAGGAGGTGGTTGGTTCTTTCCTGGAAGCGTCCCCCCTCTCAAGTATATTATATATATATATGACTGATAGTCATTCCTAATGAAGCTGACTATTATATAAACATATACCATTCACTATACATGACCCCACATGACCTATATGACTAATATGACTCATACGACTATAGCCATTCATTTTTTTTTGAAGTCCAAGGCCTTAAAGCAGCTGAAGGTCAGGTGCTCAGATCTCTGAAAGCAGCGGATTTATCGGAGAAGTCACCTGTTGAGCCAAGGAGTTGAAGCGATGCTGTCCAAAGGCCAATCAGTATTGATTTCATGAGAAACGGGCAACCCCTGCCGGGTCGGCGAACAGGCGACGACGAAAGAAGTTCCACAAAGGAGAAAGGCCAACCATGAAACACGAAAATAAAAAAATAAAGGCAATGAAGAGATGTTAGATGTTTATCCTGTTGCATCCCATTTCCCGTTTCCTTACCTATTCCATTACCTCAACCATGCTTCGCCTTCCTCGCCGACTGTGCCAAAACCATTCATTGTCAGGCGAGCAAAGACAAGACTTTGAAGACGCCCAATCGCGATAAGGTTTGCTTCTGGGTTTTCCCTGACTGGGATCTTTCGGATAGTTTCTCCCGTGGTGGGGGGTGAACATCAATCGAAATGGTTATTGAATCACAATTCACTCCGCAGAATCGTTTTTGGCCAAAGTACATGACGCCGCACGTGTCTGGCTGGTAGGTTCAAATATATAGATTTGAACAACTCAATGGAAGAAACTTATTAAGGATGGGGATGATTCTGCTGGCTGACTGGTAAACATGGATCTTCAATGCTAGTCACATACATACATATAATATTATTAAATATATATATATAATATTTATATATATATAGAGAGAGAGATATATATATATGACATGATATGACATGTAGAAGGTCATCAATCAAGACATTTGGAGACCAGCTCCCCGTCCCAGGCGAAATGAAGATCTGAATTCAGAAAGGGCCTTGCGGTACCCGTCTGTTGCCCTCATCGGCTAATGCATGGTCACTGGAATTTTTTGTAGCAAAAAAGTCACCTGGATCATGGAAGTATCCGCTGGTGGAATGTGAACATTTTGAAATAGTTTCCATCATTTTCAGCCTCCGACTGTTGGATTGTGGCCGATGTGGCCGGACACGGTCCCATTCACGATTTAGACCCTTCATTGATATTCATTGATTCAGGTGACAACTGAAGCCCACCTGGTGTCAATTTCTTCAAAGTCATCGTAGTTCGCGCAGTTGGTCCCTCAAAACTGGGTCCAGCATGGCTCTGTACACAGCGGTTTTCGCCAGCAGCGAAACAACGTCGCGGCCGAAAAGTGGCACTGGCAGATCCACCGCATTCACCAGAAAAGGACACAGGCCGGCGGAGAAGTTGGTGAGGTTGGAGGAAGATGCTCCCAAAAAAGTATGACTAGAAAGATGGGTAAGTTGAAACACCTTAATCATCCTTCAACATGGATAAAGTATGATAAAGTGCTAAAATTTCTGATTTTCAGAAGGTTTTCCATGGTTTTCAACCACGAATGATTCGGATCTCGGATCTCATGCAATTCATCTCGGTACGCGCAACTTGTAAGCTGCCCTGCGCAGGCACGAATGCACTATGGCCATCCAGACATCATGAACAAGGAGCGCAGCAGGTCAGTGACAGATTTCATGGAATCCTATGGGTCCAAAATGGTCCAAAGTCCCAACATGTCCAAACATGTCCAAATGAAAATGTTTTCTCAAAATGCGTATATGACCTGTATATGACTACGTAGTAAATTAGGTGACATCCCATAATATCCCCAGCATGGCCATTAATTACTGTATATTCAATTGGAGCAACATTGCAAATACTGATGTTTCTGGAACTCCAGAAACTGAACCAATCATGGTATGGTATTTGCGTTGTTTTTTTGTTTTAACCGCACGGCTTAAAAACATTGTTTTTACCACAGGTTTTTGGGCAAACAACCAGCGAGAAACACCCTGATTGCCGCAGTTTTGAGCTTGTTGCAGCTGTTCGGCTTTTCAGAGGCGGCAAGTGGCGGCAACGAATAAAAACACCGTAAATTACCATGATCTAGCTGCTAGCTGTCCAGCCGTGTCAAACACTAGCCAAAATTGCTGGTTCGAGCCAACATATGACAGAGTTCGTTTTTGATGGACGAGGTGTGTAGCCCTGTGACCCCTCCAAAAGCTTACCCCCACCCTACTGCACGCTGCACGATTCTTGATGTTGTTTTGGGGTCGCAGGGCATTGGTTAGCTACCAGTTTCCCATCTGGCATTGCTGGTTGTAAAGGCTACGCCAGACACTGGCCTTGGGGCTGTGTTGTTGGGCCTATGTTGGGCCCCAGGGCGAGGCCACAGGCGCCTCCCAGTATTCTGGATCTTGTGCACCTTGATTTTCTACAGAGATTCTATCAGAGGGTGTTTGTGTCTGAGGGATTCTAATGATTCTGAAACATGAGGGGTGTGCAACTGGTTTTTTTTGGAAAAACATGCCCCAAAATGTTCCCGGCTTATGTCATATTTATGGGATGAACGTATGCGATACTATGTCAAATATTTGTCCTAAAATGTTTGCCAGTACAGATCCCAGAAAATGAGAGAGAGGGAGAGAGAGAGAGAGAGATGTCAGAACACATATTTTAACATGTGCCTCAGCATATGTGTTAGGTCGTATTATTTGCCGGATTGTGTTAGTAGGCATCTCAGAATGCATGGCAGTTGTGATATGTTTGATTTTTGTTCCTTCCAAATCAATCCATTTTTCAACGTCGGGTGGAAATCATTGGAAGAAGAGTAATCAAACACCAACAGCATCAAACCGTGAATGCAATTGGGCAGCATCATCAAACCTCCATGAAGGGACTTTGTCTTCGTCATGTGGGGCCCGAGAAAGCAAACCTTCACGCGCGAAAGCTGTGCGAAAGCTCCGCGAAAGAAGAGCGCCAAGGTCAAGCCGCGAAAGCAGCGGCGAAAGCAGGTGGATTGTAGAAACGCATTCAAATATTTATGTCGCTGCGAAAGCAAAAACTGTGCCCGCGAAAGCTGGCGCGAAACGATTAGAACCACTTCGCTACCCGGTTTTCGACACCGCTCATAATCGGCAAAGCCATAAATTTATTTCAACTGTCAACTCATTGGACAATTGCCAGACCAAAATTGTCAAGAAGTGGGCAGTGATGAGTTTGAAAATTGCCTTTACGCAAAGTATTGTTGGAATCATGGTTCAAACGGGTGTTTCGAATTTTATAGCCGCTATTATAGCCAAGAGTTTCTTAATGACATCTTCAACTGCGCTGTCCACTTCATGGCCTGCTCCAACTACAAGGAGCACACGGACTGCGGGGGTGGGGGTAGTGGATATTCTGCTTCAAGACGAGATGCGGTGCCCAAATGGTGCCAAACAGGACATCGTTGCTCATTCTGCAATCCTTTGCAAGATTTCATTCATGCGATGAAATCGAGGGATGCTAGATCCACCTGATATTTGAGCGCAGAACGTTTGACGCATCATATATGTTGATATATGTTGACCAACTGAAAATACGGTGTGTTGAAATCAGCTCCAGCTGTAACGTGCTGTTTTTGGTTCGAGTTGAAACCATGCAGTGAATGCACTGTTCAATCGACCCGAGTTGATGCTTGGAAGAGCCCATCTCCGCCTGTCCAGCTATGCGGGTGCTGCACGTCGCAGTGCCTTTTCTGTGTTTGAGCAGTGGGGCTGCCACCTGCCTGGACGACGCAATACCACCATCCGAGCGAAAGAATTTGACAAATGTGGAAGGCTTGGCCTGGCTTTGCTGAGGTCCCACACAATCACACGATACCACGTCCTGGGACAGCCCACGAGAAACACCCTCATGCCAGAACTGTTTGACCCCGTCTAACCAGAGCAGCAACTGATCCATTTTCAAAGGTGCATTGAAACCTGTTTCCCGACCTGACAGGTGAGGGTCTCTAGATTTTATGTCAGTTTTCCCGCTCCGCTTCTCCTATCGCCAGCTCGCAGGCTCAGCCCCGACCCGAACGCTATGCCGGAAAGAATGCCAGATACAATGCATCAATGCCAGATAAAAAGGTCATAATGATTTCAGAATATATGTTAGATAGAATGTCAGAATACCAGTATGTCTTAGAGTCTTAGAATGCGTATTCACCTAGGTAAGATTTTTTGTTCCCCACCTGGGGGTGAGCTTTCACAAAGCTGCAAGTCTTGTCCCCCTTCTCGCCTTCCTCGTCCTGCTGCCAGCCCCGGATGCAGTGGAGCACGCCTGGACCCGAGAATGCCAGACAGAACGTCAGAATATGTGTCAGCTAGAATGCCAGAAAGAACTGCATCAGAAAGAATGTCAGACTAGATGCCAGATAGAATGTTAGAATAGATGCCAGGTAAACTGCGATTGATATGTTTTCATATGTTTTCCATGTTTTCCCCTATGCATTTTTCCCGCTTGGATGTGTGCTGCAAGGCAAGGGTTTTTTTTCCATAATCGCTGGAAAGCAGTTTCCGTGGATTCTGCACTCAGCTCCGGCCTGTGCATTGCAAAATGTATAGAATGCTTGTTTTAAGTTTGAAAAAGCAGAACATATGTCGGATAGAATGAAAGATCGAATGTCAGAATACATGGATAGAATGTTAATGGGAATCACGCCAAGTAAAGTGACCTTTCTGACTGGGAACGATCATATAGTCCATGGATGTCCATGGTTTGTTTTGAATTGTTACTCTTTTTTCGGTCTTAGTTTGCGCCAGGTGAAAGCTATCCACTCGGGATATGGATCGGCAATTGGGCATCTGGTCGGCTCAGTGCCGCCATGGTCCAGATCCTAATTGAAGAACTCATGGGTTTTCACGTGCGCACTGCCGAGGGGTCAGGCCTGTTCACTGTTTGTTGTTTTTTTTGTTGGGCGCAGTGCTTGAAACAAGACTTGATCATTCTGCAACAACGCTGGAGACGGATTTCAGTGTTCTTCGTGGTTTCTAGATGATTGTCCGAAACCTGCCCTCCAAGCATCCATTTCGCTTCTTGACACGATCCTTGTGATTTGATACTAGTGGCACTCAGCAATGGTTTCACGGAATCAGACTGATCCTCCATCTAGAGCCTAATCAAGACCAAAACTTTCCTGTAAGCAGCATTTTTCTTACCTCCCTGCCAGGAACTGCGATGCAGATGTACGCCATGACAGGGTGTGAGACACCCACAAATCCACAGGATCGTGGATGTGGACCTCAAGCTCCCAAGCAGACTTATTTCCACGTCGGTATGGAGGGTTGGACTAAACCGTACTGGCAGACATGGGCAAAAATCCAAAGGGACTTCCCAGCAACTGCTCCAGTAAACCTGGGGCACATTGGATATGATGGAGACGGAGGGCAGTTTGTTGCATTCAACGTCGTTCGCAGAGCCTTTGAAACAGAAGGATTGTTGTTGGACTTCTACGGCAGCTACCATGCCTCGTGGCACACTCCAGGTGCGTACTTCGACAAGATTACAGCTGTGAATGTGTCCGACCTGACGCCCTGCAATGAAAACCCATGGCTGTCAGACCAAGAAACACTGCAGATCTACGTGCAAGCCACCGGAGATTACGATGGTGTAGAAGAGGTGAATGGGGAGCTGCGTGGCAAGTGCTTCTCAGGCTACTTTTGGTTTCCGCCAGCATGTCGCGTAGACACATCCAACTGTGTGCTGTTCTTGACAAGCGCAGGATACGAAATGTGGGTCATGATGCAGAGAGCGACAATCTACAACATGCCAGTGGCACCTGTAGATGTCAAGGATTGGGAGAGGTTCGCGAGTTTGCCTCAACAAATCTCGTGCCTTTTCTACGCATGGGAACCTGACCCGACCTTCTTAGGGCTTCAAGCCAAGATGCTTATGTTCCCTAGATACAACCGGAGCGACTGGGAGCAAGGATTCGCCAGCACTGCCGCTCAAGGTGTGCGTCTTGAAACTTAACCTTGCTAGTCCAGGGCGGGCTCTTAAAGCTGACAGTAATTGTTGTGCAGGTGGAAGACATGGAAATACTGTAGCTCAGATCTTTGCATGCCCCACAATGGAAGGGTAAATAGATGTAAATAGTATATATATACATAAATAGCAGAAAAACAACTTTTGTGGCTTGCGGGTCCATGGCAATCCCAATTTGGAGGCAATCCAGAGGTATGGCTGATGAGGGCGCTGCCCATCCCTCCACAAACAGATAGTGAAACCGCCAATGGGAGCTTTTGATGTGAGGATTTAGGACATGCCAACTTGTTACGAACCATTCCACACCAGGTCACGGCTCTGACAATCTTCATGGGATCACCCAGTACCAACAAGTTTCTCATGTTTCTCCTAGCCAAGTCCCGGAAATTAAAGAAACCTGCCACCGCCTGCCACCTCACCAAGTCAGTCCTGCTCCCTCCATGAGGAAAAGTATGCTAGCCATGACCTTCAAATTATTGCGCCCACAGTGCGGGAGTTGCTGAGTGCTTTCTCAATTAGCTTTGACGCTGCCTGGCTTGCGCATATCCCGCTTCATCGATTATTTTTCGTCTTGTTGGACTGTTTGGTGCAAGGGCCCCAAGGTAATAGCCTGCAGACATTCTTAAACCTGCCACTCACTGACAGTCTGGATTCCAATGGATTGCATTTTTTCATATTTTTTCTTGAGTCTATTTGAGTCTTGAGGTTGTGAATCAGCTCCTGGCAGTTCAAAAGGCCCAGGGCAGTTCTGCGACTGAGATTTGCTTCAGAGTCTTGTCTTTTTGATTCTTTTTGCATATATATATATATATTACATAATATTAATTCATAATACTTTAATTATACAGCATCCTATTATTGATGCGGGTTTTTTGCCAGGGGTTAGGCGCTTAGGCACAACCTGGCAAAACCCAGGCCATGGACGTGGCATGCAGCTGGGTGCAAAGAAATCGTGACATTTGGGAAAAGTGGCTGCCAGACACCACAGCATGCTTCCCACAGTTCGGGCTTTTCGATAAGGTGACGGAAGCTCAGCACGCACTGCAGCTGGGTCATTTGTGAGTTCCTGTTTAGTAGGTCATGTGAGCGGTGCTCGTAGTGCTTTTCTGAGTTAGGAAAAAGAAAAAGATCGGCGAATGTGTTGAAGGTGGTCACTTGAAAACACGTGTATCAAGCGTGTAGCGCCCAGAAAGTGTAGATTAACATGCCCGTGTTTGAGAACGGTTACATAGCCGCATACAGCCGCAAATAATTCATTCTCAACGAGCATTGACCACAATCCCAGCTTTTGATGGGGGCCCATACCCTTTATGCAGAAATAGGCCCCCGGCTCTGCCCAAGGAAATATTCAAGGATGACAGGGAAGGTGACACCAGCAATCTGATTTGCAAGGCCATGTCAGCAACTTGCTGGGCTTCAAGCAACCACAGGTGTTGTTCACACATACCCGCACGCATGATATCAAATATTCGGACATCCAGCATTATATGTTTTGTTCTTACCACCAATTGTCCTCCACTATAATATGCTTGCATGTGCGATTGTATTTTCTGCTATTGAATCCAAGACTTCAAGACGTTCCCTGCAAGGCGTGCGGTTCAGGCTCTTTTTCTGCCAGCCTTCGCGATGGCAAAGGCCTGACATACGTATGCCGCCCTTGTGCTCCAGGATATGCTCAACCCTCCGGTGCGTCCACCGCATGCGAGCCATGCCCGGTGGGAGAATACCAGGAGGAATGGGCCAAGCAAAGTTGTGAGGGTAATCTAGGATGATGGTCCTCTTCCGACAACTAACTTGCTTTGTATAATTCTACTTGGGGGCATTTATATTCCAATTGAATTTGATAGCAGTTCATACCAGGATTTGAAAGGCCAGTCAACGATAGCCGATAGCGAATCCCGGAGGAGCCCGGGGCATCGTCTTGCAAGCGATGCGCTTTTGGCCAATACCAGAATGCCACGGGACAGAGTCAGTGCCGCAAGTGCCCTGCAGAGCGGACTACGTTGGGACTTGGCTCGGAGTCACTGGCTGAATGTGTTTGCAAAGCTGGATCTATAGAATCTTGGCCATGTCACGCTGGCAGGAGCATGGTGTGCCAAGTTTTCGCACGGGCTCACTTTCATTGCACTTTCAGCAATTCAACTTGATCTGAGGAAGAGGATGGGCAGTGTGTTCCGTGCGGCATTGGCCTTTCTTGTCCGGTCGCCAGCAAAGTTGCAGGGCTGACGGCCCACCTTCCTGCAAGCAGTGCAGATTTCGATCGGCCGTTCATCGAGCACGGATGCTGTGCCAGCACTTTTGGATGCCACCAATTCTGGTCAGCATATCTAACGTCTTAACCAAAATATGGAGACGCTTTGTGGATCTTTGTGGTTCCACCAAAAAGATGAATATTGGTCATCGAAACATATGATATGCAGCAAACATTACATTTGCGAATCCAAATCTGTACGTATATACCACAAATGTGGCGGGTGAGACTTTGCACGCGCCTCGTGCCTCGTTTGGGTGCAATGGACATGCACACTGCGCCCCGGGCACAGATGTAAAGAACAGTGCTGTAGTATATGTAGGCACCCCTGTGAAAAAGGTTCCTCACTGTGACTTTATTTTGCCACATGACACTCAAGGATACAACAGTGATGCAGATGCCCCGCTCACAATCTATCGGTGCCGAGAACATTGTCCAGGCACGTTGCGCACAACGTTGTTAATTGTGTTTTGCCCAATCCGATTTTTTCTTCCTACGCAAACAAACATGGGTCAACCCATGCTGAACATGTTGGATCTTGCTACATCAGATCAGTAACTCGCTGGCTGCGGACTAGCTGACAGCCGGCTGCCAAGGGGGTGCGCCTGGGACATGTTCTGCTGGACGCATTGGGGTCACCTGCGCAGAATGCCCAGCGGGAAGTTTCGCGTGGGGTGACGGCACGTGCTCTGCATGTGCTGAGGGGAACATTTCTCTTTGGATGCCTCTTGGCCTTTAAGAGTTGTGAAAAAGGTTGTGTGACTTGACCGAAGGAAGTTTAGAAGTCAAACTTCCGACAATATGGACAGATGGAAAAGCACAGGTGGGAAGAGTCAGAGAAGAGAAGAGAAGAGAAGAAGAAAGAAGATCAAAAAAGACAAAGTCTAAGAAGAAAGAAGATCCAGGTGCGTGAAAGGTAGGAAAGTCGCGAAACACTGTGTTTTTCCAATGACTTGTGGCTCCAGAGGGCCGAAAAGTAGGCTCGCTAAAGCGGCGGGTGCGGAGCCATCTGGGCAGATGAGAGATGAAAAATTGCACACAGTTGCGGCGCGAAGCACGATTCGAAGTAAAAACGTACAACACACCAACGTCGGAGCACTTTTGGAAGATGAGATGTTGAAAACGTGCACGCCGTTGTGGCACGAAGCACATTTCGAAGTCAAAATGCACAAAACACACCAGGTCCGGAACACGTTTGGAAATTGAGCTCTGCACTCAACTTTCGATCCTTGAAGGAAGTCTCGCAGAGTTGCTTCGTTTTTGATGTTGTCAACTTCGAAAATTGAGGAAGTTTCGCAGAATAGCTTCGTTTTTGACATTGTCAAGTTTGAAAAATGAGGAAGTCTCGCAGACTTGCTGTGTTTTGGATGTTGCCAAGTTCAAAAATTGAGGAAGTCTCGCAGAATTGCTGCGTTATCAAGCTTGCAGATAGATAGATAGATAGATAGAAAGATAGATAGATAGATAGACAGACAACTACAACTGTAACTACAACTGCAACTACAACTACAACTGCAATTCCAGCTACAACTGCTACTTCAACTGCAACTACAAATACCTGTACAAATATATTAATTACGCTACATTACACTACACTCATTACAGTACACTATAACTACTACTACTACTACTACTAGTACTAGTACTACTACTACTACTACTTCTACTACTACTACAACTGCTACTACTACTACTACTCCTCCTGCTACTACTACTACTACTACTGTTACTACTGTTACTACTACTGTTACTACTACTACTACTACTACTACTACTACTACTAATACTACTAATACTACTAATACTACGACTACGACTACGGCTATGGCTACGGCTACGGCTACGGCTAGGGCTACGACACTACGACTACGCGACTCTACGACTCTACGACTCTACGACTCTACGACTCTACGACTCTACGACCACGATTACTACTACGACGACGACGACTACTACTACTACTACTACTGCTACTACTTCTACTACAGTCACGACCTTGCAGGTAGAAAATATTCGTGCCGCACGAGAGCATTTTTGGACCCACGAGTCGGCGATTAAGCAGACAGTTTTTTTCTATTTTTTACCCACGAGTGAAATTGAAATATATATCATTTTTCAGAATCTCCTCATTTCTTTTGCGTTTTTTGAAAAATTGTTTATTGAGATAAAGTATTCGAAAACACAACTTGTGGTCGAAACCCTGGTTTCTTTGCCATTTTCCATTTTTGCGTGCATATATGCAGTCGAAATGCAGTGGAAAATTTGTCATTTTTTTATCTGCAAATAGCCGGAAAAAATTCTATCTGACATGTTTTTGTTTTTTTTTAAGAGACTTTTTTGTGTCTTAAATTTCATAAGACATAAACAATTTATAAATTGCCTGAATTGGTTGCATTTCAGATCATTTTTGTATCTTATAATTTCCAAGTTCGGATTTCATCAATCAGCCTGACATGGCCTGATGAAGTGGAAAGCGCCAAACATCCTAGGATCAGTGGCGGAGTTGTGTTGTTGCTGTGCGTTTTTCCAGCCTATGCTCGGCTCACTGGGCCCTACTCTCCGAAGATTGGTGCCACAGGCGTTGCGTGGTCCCTTCTGGGCTTGACCGTTGAAATTGCTCAGAATTTGCAGGTGGTGAGCACAGCACCCACCAGCTGGCCGCCATTGATGGTGAGAATCACCAGTTCCGTGAGTGGTCTGAGCAGCAGCTTGAGCGGCCTGGGCGGCTTTGCCTGTATAGGGCATGCTGGCGTGGTGATGATGTATGCCGGCCAGGTTTTGATATTTCCTGCTGTGATTGGCACCTTGGCAGCCTTGGCTGTTGTGTTTCGATCTCACTTCACTGGTGCAGGTGCATTTCTGCAATGTTACAATACATTTCGCACAGTTAGAATTCGATAGTTAAGCAGGGATAACAAACAACATTTCCATAGAACAACATCGCCCACGCATGTGATTTTCAAAAGAAGTTACATTTTCGCTTTCAGGTCATATTGGTCATGGTGATATCAGTAAGACACATTGGCGTCTGCCTTGCTTGGAAGCATACTTGCAAGTCAGTTACCTGGCGCCCAAGCGAGGTATCGTGCTGTTGACCTTCGGGCTCACGAAATTGTTTCCGTTTGTGAGACAGGCTTGCAGCTGTGCAGGAGCAACAAGAATGATGCTGGCCCGAGGTTCTTTAAATTCTGTGAATTTGTTTGCTTCCTTTCAGGTCCTTGCCAGCAGCAACAATGTAATATGTTTCCCGGGCTTCCTGGAAACCATCACTGAGGATGGCATGTTGTGGACGCCTCGCCCGCATTTGTCGCATTCCGCTCTTGCCAGAAAGGGCATACACATGGACCTGGTATGGCACTGCTTGTCTCACAGGGAAGTTTTGCCAGTTGACTTTTCCCACCATGGCAAATGTGGGGCTTTCACCGATGATGTGCTACAGCCACCCAGGCAAGCCTTCCAAGTATGACAGGGACAGGGATGACAGGGCAGTTGGCATCTGGTATTAAAGGGTCTGCAAAAGACTTTAAACGGCTTTCCCTGCTGTTTGGGTGAAGGTCTGCTTTTCTATCTCTTCTGAGCTTTGGAGAGATTTGGTTCAAACTACAAGCTGGGTGATCCACCCAGCACTGTAGGGACGGCATCACCCGTTCATCCAACATGTGCAGGCGGACAGAAGTACAGCCTCATGAAGTACAGCAACACCTTCTGCGGGACGAGTGATCAGGTTGCTTGTTTCCGAACTGTTTGTGGAATTGTGCGCCCGGAACTGTTGGTTAATAGGGTTAAGGAAACCGACAAAAATTACCAAAGCAACTCATGGGTATGAGTCGGTATGAGATAACCTTGCCCACAAAAGAAGAAGAAACTCCGAGAAGAAGAGGTATATAACCTGAAGAATGGGTAGCTCAAGCGAGGCGGGGAAAGAGGTGGCTACGGGGTGCCAAAGCCGTCATGCTTCCATGCTTGGCATGTTGGGGAAGGAGAGTCAGCGACATGTCAGCGACATGTCGGGCATCCTCAAAAGTGCAAATGTTTTACATGTAAGGCCCACTTTGTGCATTCGAAAAGCTGCATCGAGATGACTGCGGCTTTTGTCTGTGTTTTCTTGACGGTGTGTCTTGCGCTTCAGGATTACTTTGTGTGCAAGAAAGGTTTTGTTGGATGAAAGGTCAAGCTTGTGCAACAAACTGTGCTTGCAGGGGATTCTGGATGGTTGGGGTAAAGTGATCAGGATGGTTCGAGACGTGGCGGGCGCAGAACGTGTCAACTAATTATGGCCTGGCTGTGTTCACGGCACACTGGCAAAGATGTGCGATTTCCTCCTACTCTTCAGTTCTTGCAATTGAAGGTGAAACTTGGGAAACTAGACTTCCTCTTGGGCGTGCCTGTGCAGACCGCGCAGCAAGAAACATCCACCACGCTGCCACGACCATCTCTGAAGCAGGTTGCATGTGCGATGGTGCTGTCCGCCGACCTGCCTGCATCGCAAGCATCTGTGAAATTCAACATCAGCATCAGCGCAGTTCACTCTGGGTCCTGCTTTGATGTGGGAAGGATTCAATCTCTTCAGGATTCTTTTGAGGGTGCATCTCCAAAGGCCATAATACATTTTTTTTAACAATCGGCAACCGGCAACCGGCGCCGGCAAAAGGCACCGGCAACCGGTAACCGGCAGCGGCAACCGGCAACCAGCACCGGCAACCGGCACCTGCAACCGTCAACCGGCAACCGCCAACCACAGCGGTTTCTTTGAGATGGCCTTCGGGTTGTTTACGCTTACTTTGCGGTTTCTTTGTGGCTGGTTTAGGGCTCTTTTTCCCGAATGCCTAGCGAAGGGTTCCCGTTTATAGTCGGGGGTTCTGAGGGCTGGACCCTTGTTCGCCTCGAGTGGCTCGTCGCGTCGTCGTCGCATCGTCGTCGGGTCGGCGTGGGGTCGTTAATTCCGTGTCTATGGGGGAAGCTGCAAAACCTCTCCTTTTCGAAGGTTTCCAAGCAGGTTGTCATGCTGTTTTTCGTGGCAGGCGTGGCACTTTGTGACATTCCAACCTGTTTGCTAACGTGCCGAAAGTGTCAAAATTGGAGGATGTCTCGCACGAAATGCTCGTTTTGCTGCGCCCACGTCTTTGTAGTACAAAGTAGTATAGTCAATTTCTACCAGATAGAATATTTTAGTTCAAAAAATAGTTTTCCCCACAACTTTGTGTGGCCTCCCGCCTCCTCCTCCCCACACACACCACCAACAATCTCACCACCAATCTTTGTCACACCAACAATCTCACCACCAATCTTTGTCACACCATCTGTGTCAACCATCATCTTTCACATACATATTTCAACCATCTTTGTCAACCACCATCTTGGTCAACCATCTGTGCCAACCACCAACCACCATCTTTTTGTCAACCATCTTTGTCAACCACCATCTTTCACATACATATTTCAACCATCTTTGTCAACCACCATCTTTCACATGCATATTTGTCAACCATCTTTGTCAACCATCTTTGTCAACCACCATCTTTCACATACATATTTCAACAATCTTTGCCAACCAGCATCTTTCACATACATGTCAACCACCATCTTTCACATACATCTCTGTCAAAATATGTGTGTCAACCATCTTTGTCAATCATCTTTGTCAACCACCATCTTTCACATACATATTTGTCAAACCATCTGTGTCAACCATCTTTGTCAACCACCATCTTTCACATACATATTTCTCAAACCATCTGTGGCGGCGCTTTGCGTGGCAGGCGTGGCACTCGGAGACATTCACCTTCGTTTTGCGTGGCAGGCGTGGCACTTATGGCACTGGGTGGCGCGCTTGGACCGGATTAGTCGCGGATGACATCGCGGCACTTTGCGTGGCAGGCGTGGCACAAGGAGACATTCACCAATATTTTTGCGTGGCAGGCGTGGCACTCGGCGACATTCACCTTCGTTTTGCGTGGCAGACGCGGCACTTATGGCACTGGGTGGCACGCTTGGACCGCGTGGCAGGCGTGGCACTCGGAGACATTCACCTTCGTTTTGCGTGGCAAACGTGGCACTTATGGCGCTGGGTCCGCGGCACTTTGCGTGGCAGGCGTGGCACTCGGAGACATTCACCTTCGTTTTGCAAGGCAGGCGTGGCACTTATGGCACTGGGTGGCGCGCTTGGACCGGATTAGTCGCCGGTGACGCCGCGGCACTTTGCGTGGCAGGCGTGGCACTCAGTCACATGAACCTTCGTTTTGCGTGGCAGACGTGACGCTTATGGCACTGGGTGGCGCGCTTGGACCGGATTAGTCGCGGATGACGCCGCGGCACTTTGCGTGGCAGGCGTGGCACTCGGAGACATTCACCTTCGTTTTGCGTGGCAGGCGTTGGCACTGGGTGGCTTGCTTGGAGACTATTAGTCGCCGGTGACGCCGCGGCACTTTGCGTGGCAGGCGTGGCACATATGGCACTGGGTGGCGCGCTTGGACCGGATTAGTCGCGGGTGACGCCGCGGCACTTTGCGTGGCAGGCGTGGCACTCGGAGACATTCACCTTCGTTTTGCGTGGCAGGCGTGGCACTCGGTCACATGAACCTTCGTTTTGCGTGGCAGGCATGGCACTTATGGCACTGGGTGGGCGTGGCACTCGGAGACATTCACCTTCAGGCGTGCCACTCGGAGACATTCACCCTCGTTTTGCAAGGCAGGCGTGGCACTTATGGCACTGGGTGGCGCGCTTGGACCGGATTAGTCGCCGGTGACGCCGCGGCACTTTGCGTGGCAGGCGTGGCACTCAGTCATGTGAACTTTCGTTTTGCGTGGCAGACGTGACGCTTATGGCACTGGGTGGCGCGCTTGGACCGGATTAGTCGCGGATGATGCCGCGGCACTTTGCGTGGCAGGCGTGGCACGCGGAGACATCCACCTTCGTTTTGCGTGGCAGGCGTGGCACTCGGTCACATGAACCTTCGTTTTGCGTTGCAGGCGTGGACTTATGGCACAGTCACCTTTGTTTTGCGAGGTTTATTCTGGATCGGTTTCAAAATTGTTCTAAGGTTGGTTTAAGGTTTGTTTTAGTGTCGGCTCAAAGTTTGCATTCGGCTTGGTTCGGTTTCTGTTCAGGGTTGATTAAAATCTCAGTTTGGGTCGTTTTATGTTTCAGAGCTTGCTGAGGGTCTGTTTAGGGTTGGTTTGTGGTTGCTTTAGGGTTGCTCTAGGCTTAATATTTGCGCTTAGTTTTTAAGTTTTACTTTGTGCTTGGCTTACGACTCCATTAAAAGAATATGCGTATACCGTATACACGTATAGGCGTACAGGCGTATAGGCTTGGCAACTTTCGGTGGCGACGGCAAGCGGCAACCGGCAACCGGCACCGGCAACCACCAACCGGCAACCACCAACCGGCAACCACCAACCGGCACCACCGGCACCACCGGCACCACCGGCACCACCGGCACCACCGGCAAGTGGCAATCGGCGCCAGCAACAGGCACCGGCACCGGCACCGACAAAAAAGTATATCTCAGGCTGAGCACTTCCGCCCCCCGCATTGTTTGGAATCTCATATGGGAACTAGCTGGAATAGCCGAATAGCCGCCACTGATCACGGGTAGCATTGTCAATGGCTTACATGAGCTTATGTGAACATGCACATAGTATGTGTGGGTGTTTTGGGGCGACCTTGGTCCAGGTTGTCATGGTGTGGGCTGGCGCTGGCCTATTGACGTTGACCTTCTCTTTCCTGGCTCTTTGCATTTGGATTGGGCTCAGAGCACCGGCCCTTTCAGTCCAAGGCGTGGCGGGGCAGCGTGAAGCCTTCCAGGATTCAAGTGACAGGTAGTGACGCGGATTGGCGCCCAGATTGATTGTATGATGATTCGATGATTTGTATCCCCATGGGACTCTACCAAAATCGTAGTCCACTTGTAGATGCTTCAGCTCTCTTCGTGGAAGGTCAAGGAGCTGCAAAGTTTCTGTTCGCAGACTTCCGCCCGGACGTAGCCACGCGACGTGGGTTCGGAACGGTCCGGGGGCGATATATGGCCGGTTCAAACTTTTTAGACCCGCTGGTTTGCTAGCACGGCCCATCCCATTCTGATTGCCCACAGGTCTGAAAAGGGGGAACTATGGGGAACTGGTTCATCTGGTTCCGTGGCAGATGCCTCCAGACCCCATCCTGAGTCATGAATCTAGTCTGGCAAGTTGCTGAATAGAACAGTGTGCAAAGCATCTGTGTTGCCAAGGGCGGCCTTTGAGAGACATGGACATGAACAGGGATATGTTTTCCGGATCAGAGGGTCGTTGTTTCTTTTCGAGAGCATGACATGATATGGAATGTCTTAACCTTGGTGTTCCCAATGGCTCAGTCGTGGTTTGGCCTGGTCATGCTTGCTCGTGGTCTGCTCCTGTCCTTGCCCAGCGTGGTGGTCCCCGACTCACCAAATGTGCAGCTCGTGCTGATGCATTCTGTGATTCTGGTCTCCATGGTCCCTTGCAAAACTTGCGCCATTTCATCAATTTTGTGCTTGCCTCCTATTACCAAAAAACATTGCAATAGGCACACAGGGGTCCGCAATTTCCGGGGGTGAATGATGCACATGCATTGTTGCCGTTCTCGTGACACGTTTCTTTACCAGACAGTCATTGTTCGGATCGGCAGCTGCAAAAGAGGTCTTTCAAGCCTATTTCCAACCGTGGAAATCATCGGCCTTGAATTTGGTGGACACAATTTCGCAATCATTGCTTCTGACCCTTCTGGGCATTGGATTGGGAGGGTTGGGGCACAGTGAAAGTGCAGTCCGTATCCTTCACCTTCTTGGCGCAGTGTTCTGCATCGCTCTTCTGGTGGACTCTCGGCTGAAATTTGTAATCTTGACAGCAGAAGAGGGGCTCCTTTGTTGACTTGTTGACATGGTTCATCATGGCTCAGATTTCAGCCATGGCCCAATAGTTGCAGAACGGTACAGAAAGCCATCTAATATTTTTGTTATCCTGGGGCCATTGAATCACTTCCACCTTTTGCAATTCAGGCCCTTGGGTTGGCCTTTGTTGTGTTGACTCTCGCAATAGCCGTAGACAAGATCTGGGGCTATTATGCCCTGGGGCAGCAAATTGCCAGCCTCGGGGCTGCTCCTGACTCAGCCTTCTTAGTTTACTTGCAGCTTGGCTTAAGGAATGCGTGTGTGTGTGTATTTTTATCATGTAGGAACATATTTTATCATGTTTACACAATCCCTTCTTCCTATTAATTACGAAAACTCACCCGAAAAAAAAAGATTGGTGTGGCACTTCCGGTTTTTTGGTTGGGCGCAATGAGATTGTTAATTGTGGTAGTTGAGAATCAATAGGAGAACAAGATGGTGAAACAATGGGTTCAACCCCCTATTAATGAAAATAGATTGCCACCTGGAGGTTTTTTATTAGGGTCCCATCTCACAAGCTTTATTGATTATTTTAATTATTAAAAGGTTTTCTTTGGAATATTAGGGGACGGCTTCGAAACCCACTTTTTGGCAACATTTAGATTTTTAAAAAGGATTTAAGCACATTTGAAACGAAGTTTTGCTGTTTTATTATTATTGTTTTCATTGGAATATTAGGGGCGCCCTAATGCAAAATGCCCCCTAATAATGAAAATAGATCACCGTGTTTACCATTTGAAGGGGGGGGCCGTGGCAGGGAAAAAACACGTACTATGTGGCGCGGCCCGGTTTTCGCAAAAAATTACCCTACGTTGTGCCAAAAAAACACATTTTCCCATACACTATAAACGGATATGCTCTATATTGCCCTTTCACTTGACCAGCCCCCTCACTCTGACCTTCTCCACCCACCCCAACAGATGGTTCTTGCTCTTGACATGTCTTATCTTCTTGCATTTTCTCACCTTACACCCACAGATCAAACAGTCATCTTCCCTATGAAATTCCTTCGTGCATTTACTCACTTCACTCTTACGTTCATCCCTATATTTCTTGTTCATCTCTTTCACTCTGTCACCGTTCTTTCTTCCCGTTTTCTTATGCATCGGAACCCACATCACAGGTAGAATTGTCTTCCCTATACGTATCCAATTTTCTATTAGCCCACCACTTCCTACAGTTTTGAGTCAGTAACAATTTCATGTTCCACCCTGAAGGAACAATGATCTCGCTCTCACGCTTATTTGTTCACAATTGCTTCATCCATGCTTCAGCTGGGGCGTGGCAGGGAAGATTGGGACCTATTTGACCCGCGCGCGTGCGCGTAGCATTTAAAAAAAAAACGCGCCTTCTACTTGCTTCATTTCGCAACCTTGTTTTGACCGAAACGCATTCACCACGCCAATCCCGTCACACGAGCAAGGTGCATACTCTATCTATATTCCATCTATGATCTTGTCTAACCCTCCCATAATCTATGCTAGTTCCACGGGAGCACGGGTTGGCTGCCCCAGCTTGGGCTGAAGGATTCTCTCCATCACCTCCTTCCAATTTATTTACCTATCTACCTGTATCTGTCGATCTACCTATCTATCTGTCTATCTACCTACCTACATAACTATCTATCAATCTATCTACCTATGTACCTATCTATCTATCTATCTATCTACCTATCTACCTACCTATCTATCTATCTATCCATCCATCCATCCATCTATCCATCTATCCATCTATCCATCTATCCATCTTTCCATCTTTCCATCTTTCCATCTTTCCATCTTCCCATCTTTCCATCTTTCCATCTTTCCATCTATCCATCTATTCATCTACCCATCTATCCATCTACCTATCTGTCCACCTCTCTATCTACCTATCTACCTATCTACCTATCTACCTATTTACCTACCTATCCATCCCCACCTGCGTTTTCCAATTCCACCAGGTTGCAGGAATTGACCGGCAGCATGCAGAAGAAAGCTTTACAGCGAGAATCCCTGGTCGCAGCAATGGATCAATTTGGAACGCATGACGCTCGTATCCGGGGTTCTGCATCAGTTGTAAACTCTTCATGTTTTTTCAACTTGCTCAGCTCCAGCTTCATAGAATGATGCAAGTATATTGGCTTTGTTGATGTTCCAGCTACAGTGGTCACAGCAAACAGGTATGATCCTGATGTCCTTGACAATTCTGGAAATGGAACTGGGCCTCTCGGCGCCCTCGGAAAGCCTTGACCCAGCGAGAGATGCCGCTTTTCCAGTCGAGTTCTGGCGGCACTGTCAAAATGTAATCCATGTCTTTGGGAGTGCAAAAACAAATGGAGGCAACGTGTTTTGACCCGTATCATAGAATATGGGGATTATTCGCCCCGCGAGAACCTCCAAGTAAAACCCACAGCTCAGTGCCCAGGCCCGCGTGGGTTCCTCGACGATCGCCAAGCGACGTGCCTCTTGTGAAACCGTGGTGCAGCGAAGCCGGCGAAGCTCAACGCACAACGAGTCGATTTCATTGGCGGAGGAGGGGTGCGCAACGGGGCTTGACGGCTTGACGCTTCATCGCCTATTCCGAAGGTCACTAAAGCGTACCAAAGTCAGAACCTGACATTGTGGGTTTCGGGAGAACAGGGTGGAATGTGGGTGTCCTTTTTCCCTCTTTAGTCAAGTTAGAAACGATTCCGTTTTTCCCTTCCAAATAGGACCTGGTTGCCTGGTTGCCATTGAGCGCAAGTCTTGATCTCTCAAGCCCATTTGTGCCACAGAATTGTACAGACCTCCTTGAAAACAAGTAAATTTCGACACCAGGTGATGCGCTTGAACATGTTGATAGAGGATTGCACAGAACATGTGCACTTGCATTCTGCTCATCTCACGTGCAAGAGGATTGGTATAAGGTATCAAAAAGAAAAACGTATTCTCGTCTTGACACTATTTAACGGTGTGCTTTGGGAGATCTTGGTTGTGACTGTTGGGGCAATGCTAGAGTTGCCACTTACTTGCGGCAACTTCGCTTGCCAAAGCCAAACATGCCCTCACCTACCCTGCATACGCAAAGACTGTTTTGGCAGACACCACGCATGGACAGAACGGACTTTGACAGAGCGTGCCTTTCCAGAGCACTGCAAGGGACCTTAGACTTGCAAAGGTTGCGAGCGCGAGAGTTTTCAGCAAATGCAAGCGTTTTAGCTCTCAACTGCATTTTTTGCTGCTGCTGCTTCGAAAATTTAAAATTGCAACCAAAAGGAGTTTCAAAGTGATGTGTTTGCTATATGCTGTAGTATGTTTTGATTGCAGACCGCTCTCTTGCATGGCTGTGAGCACGGCACAGCAGTGCTGCGTATTGTGTATAATGTATGTTTATATATAAGAAATAAATAGATTAATAAATAAACAAATAAATAAATAGATAGATAAACAAATATATAAATAGATAAATAGATAAATAGATAGATAAATAAATAGATATGTAATTGTTTTATATATATCGGATTTTCCTCCAACATGGCAGGGAACATGCCGTGATCACAGCGGGACTTTGAAGCTCAAGGCAAGAGAAAAGAGTGCAAGGACCGCAATGGTTTGGCGGTGGGGCGCTACCTTCGACATTGGTAGCGGAGCCTCACCGGGGGGCCTCCATGCTGCTCAGGCAAGGTTGCCTGTGGAAGCAGCGGCATGGCAGTGTATGAGAAAGATGGACTGCAAGGTGGTGCGGTCAAGCACTGCAACGGCGAGGATGGTGATCCTGGAAAACAGCTGAAGAAGTGGCGTACATTAGCCAAAATGATGACAATCAAAGACCTAGCAAAGGGACAGCGAGCTCCATGGCTGCTGACTTTGCTAGATGGCAAGGCATGAGATGCATGTGAGCATCTGAGCTTGGAGCAGCTCTCCGATGAGAATGCAGGTGAAAAGTTTCTCTGTAAAACACTGCAAGACAGATTCCCTAAAAGAAAAACAACATGACATGATGGGCAAGATCCTAGGTGAGGTCTTCGTGCTTGCTGCGCTGGATCGGGAATCAACGAGAAGTGTGGGCACATGAGCACAAGTGAATTTTCCGTCATAGGCAGGGGGCTGGATCGCTCTGAACTGTGCTGGCTTGAGCGAACAAGAAAAAGCAATTGTGAAAGCTAAGGCTCAAGGCAACCTTGAGTTTGATGCTGTAGCTGCTGCCTTGAATCTTGCTTTCCTCAGTACCGAGCCACTGGACGGAAAAAGGCGAGCACAGTGCTTCAAGCAGAAGTAGACGACGATGATCGACATGATGCTCAGTTCGATGATGTTGAGGCCTTGGCCGACCGTGATGCCTCGTTCCAAGATGACTCAAGAGATGGAGAAGGCCAGTCTCTTGGAAGGAACGCCGTCGAGAGATAGCAAAGTTCCAACAAGCTCGACAGTTTGGAGCTGCTGGCAAATCTAGGCGAAGCTTTCGCATCGAGGTCGAAGAGCTCAAGAAGAGAACAAAATGCCGGCCTTGAGTGCAAACGGCTGTCAACTATGTCGCAATTGAACAGGGTGATGATCAGGTCTGGGATGCAATTCCTGCATTTGTGGGAGCCACTGAGGCTCACGAAGTTTTGCGGTCGGGTCTCGTACCATCACCTGGCTATGGAGTAGTGGACTCTGGCTGCGGGAGGACACTACATTGACAGCTTTGGAGGAATTGATTCAACAGCGTGGATTCGGGCCCATCAAGGAGTATCAGGTCGAGAATGTGTTCAGGTTTGGAAACGGGTCAGTGGAGCGATCTCAGGTAGCAGTTCGGGTCCCGGTGGGTGTGGCACAACAACTGGGAATCATTGATGCTGCTGTCATCTCCGGACATGCTCCATTGCTGATCGGAAGACCAACCTCGGAGAAGATGAGGGCTCGCATTGACTTCAGTGGTGGCTCGCTTCATTTCCTAGACACCAAAGCAAAGATGACCACCAAGTGTGCGGGTCAAGTGCTCATTGACATCCTGGACTATCCCAACAAAGCAGCGTCATCTCAGAGTGGTCACCAGGACAGGAGAACCGGGGATGCTGCGAATGGGGATGTTAGTGATAACCTAATGGGGTGTAAACCAAGAGGGGGTAGCGTAAGATAATATAAGCATAAGGTAACTCTAAAGAAAAGAGAATGCGGATGTTTGTTTGCTCAGCTGAACGTTCAGCAAAATAATTAGATCCCATTTAAAATCGCTGTTGCAGAATTCTTTTCGCCTCCCAGGTTTTCGAAGATGGCAGAGCAGAAGGGGTTGAAGGGGAAATCATACGATATCAAGCAAGGTATTGATTTAGAAGATCCCAAAGTGCAAGAACAGGTAGATAATGGATGAGTTGCAGCCTGAACTCCTCGTAGCATGTCCACCGTGCACTCATCATGGAGGATGGGATCATATCAATCGCCTTCGCAGATCACCCCTTGAGACAGCCCGGCTCATTCGTAGGTCCAGAAAGCATGTCGCATTTTGCGCCAGGCAAATTCGAAAACAGGTCAAGAGTGGGGATTTCGTTTTTGAACGCCATGGCCTTCAGAAGCATGGCAAGACTCTGACATGGCTCCTTTGAAAAAGAAGTACGGTGTCCGAAGAATTGACATGTGTGCATAATATGCAGAAGGCCACAGGTATCATGTGCCATTCACCGTCCGATCGAAGGTATCCTGCTGTGTGGAATAAATGTCCGCACATTTTGTGCCGAATGCAGCAGTCAGTTTGTCAAAGCAATGTTTGACCTCAGCCAAATACAGAAGCCGATGGACTTTTCTGAACAAGAAGCAGCAGTTGATCTTCTAGAAGTAGCTGAATGCCTGGCCGGAGAACAATCCCCGGCGTCGAAGTAGCTGAACCGCCGGCCGAAGCCGCATCCGTGCCAGCTGATGCATCCGTGTCGAGATCAAGTGAACTGGCCATCAAGAAACTGCACACCAATTTGGGACACCCAAGCATGAAAGACTTGGTTAGGATCCTTCGACACAGCAATGCATCCGCTGAGGCTATTCGTGCAGCACAGCAGTTCGAATGCAGCATTTGCAAGAATCACGCACGGCCAGCGAGTCAGCTGCCAGCTAGGACTTCTAGAATCATGAGAACAATAAAAAGATCGGCATGGATGTTAAGTATCATCCTGGTTGGCGTCCAAATCAACGAGTTCCTTGTACCAACATTGTTGATTACTCCACTTCTCTGCAAATCATGGTTCCAATTTTTACACGTGAGAACATTGAATTGGTCAAAGAGATTCTTAGAGATTCATGGATAATCCATAGCATGGGCGGGACCCCCAAAATTCTGGAGATGGACTCATCAAGTACCAACTTGAGTGAGGAACTTGGAGATTTTTGTGAAGCCCAGGGAATAGATCTACAACACATCGCCACAGGCGCACACCGGCAGCTGGGTAAAGTAGAGCGACATGCTCACTGGTTTTCACAGATCTTTGGGCGGGTCGCAAATGAATGTCGTCCAAGCAGCTCAGAAGAATTTGTTAGTGTGCTTTACAGAGGCAGATTGCAAAGAATGCTTTCATCAGTGAAAGTGGAGCCAGCCCCTATCAACTTGTTTTTGGAGAGAATTTGTCTCAGGTGATTGGGTCTACTTTTGGCGTTCGCGGTGGCCGTTGGTATGGTGCGGGTCTGATTCTGGGTCGAATTGGCATTAAGTGGATAGTGGCACATCGCCGCAATTTCCTAAGATGTTCGCCTGAGCATCCTCGACTTGCCACAAACGAAGAGAAAACAGTTGCTCAGTGTGACACCAATGAACTGCTTGGCATCAAGAACCTCCTCGAAAAGGGTCAGTTTCCAAAAGGGCAGTTTGTTGATCTGGTCAGCCAAGAAAAACCACAGGAGCCAGAGCAAGTCGAACAGCATGTCCAGCAGGATGTCCGAGCCAGAACAGCCGCCGAATTAGTGCATCCGTTGCCGGAAGCAGATCAACCACAGGTCAGTGCTCCAGAGGAGTTGTCAGCACGACGGCATGACATTGCCCCAAATGAGCAAGGTCCGGAATCATCAAGAACTGGGCCTAGTCGGATTCCTCCTCCAGACTTTGTAAAGACTGAAGAATGGTCCCACAAGAATGGTTAGACACAGTATAGGAAGTCACCGCCTGATTTCCTGACACGCCCTCCGATTTTGGAACAAGATGACTTCGACGAAATGATGAAGGAAATCGTTCCTCAACTGATTGACCAACATGTCCAAGAACAACAGCCGGAAGATCAATCAAGCAGTCCCATGGGTTTTAGCACTAAAAGAGATGCAGATGACCCTACTAGGCACGTCGAAGCGCTCATGGCAGCATTTCTCCAGAAGAGAGCTCAGAAAGAACTCAAGCCTAGTGGTCACACTCCTGACATGCAGCAAAAGATAGATGAATCAGAAAAGGCTGAGTGGGAAACCCTCCTAGGGAAACAGGCAGTACGGGTGTGGACTGGAGCCAAAGGAAAACAAATCCGAGAAAAACAGAGCATCGTTTCATAGGTAGCCGGTTTGTCGTGGTGAACAAGTCTGATGAAGACGGTGAACGTGTCAAATCTCGGTGGTGCCTTCAGGCTCATTTGGATCCCGATTTCCGTGAGAAACTGAGTTCAGGAATGTGTCACGCACCAACTTTGCATCAGTTGTCAAGAGCACTGCTTCTTCAGATATTTGTAAGTAATAGATGGATTCTACAGCTGGGGGATATCAAGGGGGCTTTTCTTGAAGCCGGTCCCATCAACCCAAAGTTTGCACCGTTGGTCCTGTCACCAACCTGCCGGTGGGGTGCCAGGACTGGATAGTGAAGATGCCATTGAAATGGTTGGAAACGTATATGGATCCAACGACGCGCCCTTCAATTGGTGGCATACTTTCGACTCAGAAGTTAAATCTGGCAATTGTATGAACCACAGCAAGAGGGACAGCCGCCAAAGCTATGTGGAATCCTAGGTGCCCATGTAGACGACACCTTAACGGGAGGACATGGACCCACTTATGAAGCTGCTAGCGCACGGTTGAAAGCTAGATTTCCGTACAGAAAATGGCGACAAGGAAATCGAGAATTCTGTGGAGTAACCTGCTCTCAGAATCCTAAAACTATGGAAATCTCGTAATTACCAACAAAGGGAATACGCACAGCACATGAGACAAATTTCCCTTAGTAAAGAAAGGCTTCGAAACAAAGAGTCTTTTGCAACGGAAAAAGAGATAGCAGCCCTCAGGGCAATCAACGGGGCTGAGCACTTAGAGCCGGCCAGACATCTGTGTACAGACGTCTTTCTCCCAGCAATGTTTTCCAAAGCCGAAGGTCAAAGACCTTTTGTTTGCGAATCAACTGGTTCACAGAGCAAAGCCAGTACAGTCATGTGGGGATTGCTGTCAAGTACATTCCACTTCATGAGCTGCGCATTTGTTTTCACTCTGATGCCGGTTTTGGCAATGCAAAAGCCAATAGCACATCCAATGTCAAGTTGGCTGACAATGAAGCCAGCACCTGGCCACCGTTTGCTTGGAAGTCATACAAACTTCCCCGAAAGGTAGCATCAACTTTGGCAGGCGAAGGACGGCCACAGCTAGTGAGTGGATGTCGCTGATGGTTGCCGAGGCAATTGGAGGCAAGTTCGGCCTGAGAACAAGCACAGCCATTGGCAGGATACGTCAGCACTCAGCACCAACAGTGATGATCAGTGGTTTGAAACTTCGTGATGGAATTAAGCGGGTCCCATAATAAGTGTAACTGATTGTAAGAGCTTGTATGACAACCTTACCTCCATGTCCTCCGTCTCCAAGACTGATGACGGAAGGGTTGCCATCGACATCACCATAGTCAAGCAAAGCTGTGGATTGGTCACCAGATGGTGCCCAACAGAGCTGATGTTAGCAGACGGCCCAACAAATGGCCAGATGGACCCAGCGGATTTGCTTCGTTCTGCTCTCCACGTCGGAGAGTATCAACTCCGCGCTGAAGCAAACATTCTGGATCAAAAAAGGAGAATGCGAGATGAAAGAGATCGTAGAAAGTTCTCAGCTGCGAGAGGCGAAACAACCAGAAAACGTCTCGCAATTCAGTGCACCAATCCGAGCCATCAGCATAAGCATAAAGATAAAATTATATAGAGGGTAACAATAATGCAGTAAGTTAGGGAATAAGTTACGAACATTAGGATAAGATCTAAGATAACCGTAAGCCCGACAGCTTGTGCGGTTCCTGGAACAAGCTGCGAGAAAGAGGCAACGTCTTCTGACTCCAATACCTTTTTCTTTGTGATCTTCCCCGTGCTCCAAATATCATCACTGACCCATGAGATTCATTTCGTCTCGTTGATCGTCATGTTGTCCTCCGATGCTGGCACAAGTTTGATCTCGAGCAAGCTGTGATGGTCATCAACATCCGTCGGTAGACCGGAATGTGGGATGCAGCCATTCGTGCACCAGGTCAAGCAGAAGTGCGAGCGGCCATCGTCACAAGTGGAAGCTCCACCAGTCGAGCCATGCATGATGGGAGCAGGCGCTGCTGCTCATCTCCTCCCAGCGAGCAGCGAGATGACTGAGGATGCAGAGTTTGAGTATATCCCCAATTCGCCTGAGGCAGGCAAACCGAAGCAGTCACCAGTGCCCCCTTCGATGACTAAGGGACAGCCGATGAGACAAAGAAGGGTGGAGAGCTTCCAGATGGAATCACATCGATTCCGCGCTGGGGCAAAACTATTTGCACCTTACCCAAGGTGGCTCCCAAGCGTGCTACGTATGAGGCTTTGGTGCGTGAAGCAGAGAACAACAGTGAGACAAAGAGCTATCTCAATTGGGTCATGAATAGCAACATGAAGCCAGTTTCAAACTGGATGATCTCAAGGGGTATCTCATGGCGTCCAAGTATCGGCCGGCAGGAGATGGTGCCATCAGCTATCCTGGCACGAACTCCATCCGAGAGTTTGGATCTTAAAGGTGTATACAGGGATTTTTTTTTGTATACATACATACATACATACATACATACATGAACAGTAGTTGAATTTGCATGATTTGCATGCAGTGGATTATTGCTCCCCCAACTGGCCCAGTTCCAAGCTCAACAACTGCCACCAACTGACCCCGAATGCCGAGCACCAACTGTTGGCATAGGACCTTGTGGATGGGGAGCAAAGTGCAACTTCAAACGGGTCCAAACCCCATCTTGCAGCGGATGTTCCTCCAGAAGTTCTGCACCTACATCTTCGAAACCTAAAAACCGTGTTGGAACAGAATGGGGAGCAACAACTGCAAGACATCAAATATTTAGTCAGTGTCGATACGTGAGCCACGTCAAAAACCCATGAACGGAATGTAGCTCCAGTTGATGGGAAAATGTTCCATGAGTAGACCCAACAGCAACCTTGTTTTTGATGTTTTTGACGAAGTTCGCATGATTCTAAGCATGGCAAAATTTGCCAATCTTTACAATTGTTGCAAATGTTCGCGCCAAATTCCTGAAAGGATTTTGCAGCTTCTGGTTACCTTGAAACCATGCATGGGATCAAAAGGGAAGCAACAGGCAGCGGCTGTACGAGTGTCGTTGAAGTATGTTGAAGTGACGCACGCGCAGGCAGCGCGCAGGGATGTGTCCCAAGGATTCGGGGGTTGAGAGATGAAGTGAGCACCTGTGCCCTTCATCCTTTCCTGCGTTTCCGCTGGGGAACGATGTGAAATCTTGTGTTCAATGCTTGTCACGAAACTCAGGCAGGTCTACCCATATTCGAGATCAGAAAACCTCCACTCACAGGTTGTTGCGCATTTTGAATCATTTTTGAATGATTCGGATTTTTAGCCAAGTGCTTGGAACTGCAGACGTTGCCAGATGACCGTCCCCCATGGGTTCTGTGTAGAACCGAAAATTCAAGGAGCAGCTGAAGCAGTGCAGATGATCTGAGATGAACCGACATGAGGAAACATGCTGGCCCCAACCAGCATGGTGGTCAGTGGAAATCCTTTGATTTTTGTCATGAGGACCATTTGCAAGAGACGCTTTGGGAGATGTTCCATACATTCTCGACGCATCGGATTTCCATGACCGTGGTTTTCTCACCGTGGCACTTCTGGAGGCAAACAAACTTGGCAGACTCGCGGAGCAAAATATGGCAATTGGCAGAGCCAACTGGCCAGCCAACTGTCAAATTTGTCAAGGGAGTTGAACCGGGATGTGAAATGCACTTGGGCTGGGTAAACCCACAAGCATGAATTTGGGATGGCAGTTTCAATTCTACGTTTGCCATCATTTTTGATCTCCACCTGAATGTCCAACTCACATTGGGTACCGGTGGACCACCTGCGATGTAGCAACGATTAGCAACGATTAGCAACCTCAGAGACAGAAAAGTAAACCACACACAAATAATCTCAAATAATACAGTTATAAGATTTATAAGATGTTTATTTTGCTGTTCTGCATCTTTTTTTTAGATGTCACACTGTGTTACTGTTCCTTCTTGCCGAAAGCACCGCAGGAGTACATGATGCAACAGGGCGGTGTGTCCAAGGCCACCAAGACGCTGAATCTCTCGGAGGACATCTTCGCCGGCATGGACTTCGTGCTGCGAGGAGGAGGCGGCTTCATATCCCATAGGATCCATGGTGCTGGTATATATGGTATCATGGATCCCATCAATATACCCCCTTTATGTTAGTATATATACCAGCACCATGGATCCTATGGGATATGGGTGAATTACACTGATACTGACATAGAGTCAGATAATGTCAGATGATATGTAGGGATCGGTTGGGCCAAAAATCCAAATGCATGGCATGGGCGGCAAATTTCACATTCACCGGAGACTTATGGTTTCAAAGGTTTTGGCCTCCCCTGAATCGCAGTTTTCCATTTTGCAAATGGATTTGAGAAATCATATGGACTCATTCCAGGCCGAACCATCAAGCATCGCGAGTACTTCCACTTGGCTAAAGGCGGGAGCCTGAAACCTCTTTGGATTTTTGGTACAGATGACCCAAAGCTTCACCTGAGGTCGAGACTTAGGATTCAACACGGCTTGGAGCCTCAAAACGGCTTGACCTTGGCTGCCATGTCCCTCCGAAGATTGGTTGGACCGGCCCAAAGATGGACATCATGGACTAAAATAATTGATTTTGATAGTGGAAATCCAAGGGGATTGGCCAATGGCTAAAGCTCAGTTTTGTTCGATTTGCTTCTCCGATGCAAACCAAGAATCTGGGTGAATTAGACGACGGCTGCACCAGAACATCGCCAAAAATGGTTTACATCATATGAGGAACCCCCAGATCATTAAACATCTCAGGTTAGTCAACTACCAAAATTCAACCAGTATGATATTGGCAGATATCCCCACTTGATGGCTCGCCAATATAGTTGGTCAAAGGACTGAATGTGAAACTGTGAAACACCAAGAAAGAAGAAGAAGGAGGAGGAGGAGGAGAAGAAGAAGAAAACCACCCAATATCATATTAATAGTTGATTATATTTGTATATTATATATATATAATATTATATAATTATATATATATACATTCGTAATTACTCGTATAGTCTGCATAGTTGCATTCCATTTACAAACCATCATGTATCCTTCATATAACCCAAGACAGATAACTGACCATCTGTGACCTGTGCACCGCCCCAGGTCCTGGCCTTCTTTTCGAAGCTCAGCTCCGGAGCTGGCGAACAGCTGTCCACGACCTGGCACGATAGCTGAAGATCACCCGATGGGTAGACGGTAGACCACTCCTGTCACCAAAAAAGTCTCTGAGACATGACAACTGGCGCATGTCCAAGGATCACCAGGCAAACCAATCGCCTTGGAAACCTACTGCCCTTGCCAGAGTTCCTGTCGCAACACCGACCTGATTTCAATAAAAGGTCCGGAGTCCATCCTACCGGTTGAATATGTTGAATCCCGACAGGTTCTACTATGCTCACATGGGCCATTATTTGTCCCAGTGGTCCGTAGGGATCTCAGGATGACAAAAGTCTTGAAGGCAACCTTGTTGGATACCCAAGAAAATACATCGCACACGGCAAAATGACCCGTTGCAAGATGTTGCAAGAGAAATTTTCAAAACAAGCCTGCCAGCTGTGCTTTCTCATGTTTGATTCCATTTCAGCCCCAGAATTATGTTAGACAAATGACATACTATAGAAGTTGAACAAAGCTGAACAAATTCATTTTCAGTACAGAAATCATCTTCAGAATCACTCTGGCTTACCCCACAATCCCAACAAAAACATCCTGAGTTTCAGATGAAACAAATTTGCCAGCAGTGTTGAAACAAAACTCCTCGAAATTCGAATGAATGATGGTCAAAAGGTGTCAAAAGCAGGTTTTCCTCTTTCCCCGTCTTCCCCGTCTTCCCCGTCTTCCCCCCCCTTGTCCAACCGTGTCCAACCCATCAGCGCTCTCAGATCTCCTGGGGTCTGCCATTGTTGACGTTGATCTGGCTGGTCGTGCTCCTGAACGGCTGCGAGGAATCCAATGACCTGTCCATCAAGTAACTTCCTCAGGGCCATGAGCGTTGCATGATATGACTCTTAAACCAAAGTGCTTGATGTTATGAATCTGAACCTTCCTGTAAGGAACTTCAAATGATATGGTTGACATGATGATATGCCAATCATTGTGAATTTGTTAATTATTGATATTATTGTTCGTTTGTAAGGGACTTCAAATGATATGTGAATCTGAGACTAAGGTGTTCGGATTGAGAGATTTATTGGTGAATTACTGTAGCTGCTGCTGAGCTGTTGTAAGAGCTGAGCACTGGGTCGATATCAGGTGCATCATTGGCAGCCAAAGCGCGGCGCACGGAGCTCAGAAATCAAAATGGATCCCAAAAACTGGCAAACTTCTGATCTGAAAATGGGGTATACCGGTATACCATCAAATAACCATTGAAAAATATGCGTTATCGATGGTTATCGGAAAAACCATGCAATTTTGGGGTACCCCATTCCCAGTCAAACCCATAGTGTGTCTTGCTCCTTCTTGCATCCGCTTGTAGGGCGAGAAGGGACATATCCGATCTCGAATCCGCATCAGATCTGCCAGGTCGGTGATGGCTGAAGCGTGGCAATACATTTACAGTGGCCAACTGCTGATCCTCTTTTTGCTGGCACAAATGGCACCTATTTTCTTCGAGGTCTGGATGGAGGCCAGGATGGCTGGCATCCAGACTTCTCATCATCAAAAACAACATCTTTCGCAGCAGAGCAAATGTCAAGATGTCATCAGATGTCTTTCATCACCATGGTTCGCGATTCGTGGAGAGTTATCCATGCAATACAGTGTTTTTCTTGTCGAACTCTATCTGAGTTTGCAAATCCTCATTGTCCAGGCAGGAATTGTGCAATCGACCGTGCGCTTGGTGAAGCAAATCCTCACGCTTTCGCCCGTCATGTTCATCTTCCAAGCGAAGGCATGCCACAGCAACCTGGCAACCTGCCCATCTCTGTTGACTGTACCAGGATTACTAGGTTGAAAACAGAAATGCTTGAGGTATTTGAATGTATTTGAATGTATTTGAATGTATTTAATCTATGGTCCCAGAGCTTTAAGGCATTTTGGGTCAGAATGGTGCGAGATGACTCTTCGTTTTGATTGAGCATGATGCTGATTTTCTTTGCGTGGTTAGTTTCTTTAAGCGACTCAATATATTCAGAAGATGTCTTTGCATGCACCGCCCGTCGCAGGTCATTGGTTTTTACACCATGAACGAATTGAAGTTTGGGGGTGCCACATACGTCCAGGGCTGAGATTTAGATGAAGCAGCTATGAGATGGCCAAGGGTCAATATGCCACCTGCTTTTTCCGGGCTCCTGATCCTGTTTGGAAAGTCTGAAGGCTGCAACTGTTCAGGCTGTTCAGGTGTGCTTTTGTCTTCAAAACACGCGGGCCCGGTTCAGGTTTTTTTTATCGGTTCAAGAAGAGTTTTGTTGGCCGCCATGGATCAACGCTCCGAGCGGAAGGCTCGCCTGAGGGCGGCTGGGCGACTGCTGCTGCTGGGTGGTGTGGCCGCCAGTGCGCCTGGGTCACTTGGCAGATTGTCATGTCCAAAGCCCAACTTTCAACGTCTTTTAACGTTTCTCCGCAGTGAAACAAAAATCCCAGGATTCCCAGGAACAACCGTTCGAAATCTGATTTGAATCATTATGTGGTTGACATTGCCAATCATTGCCATTGTTGGTATATAACTTCTAGAAGCTTGAATCAGCCAAGTCATCCAAGTCATCAGGTTTGTTGTGGGCACCTCCCGTGCCAGCGCCCCGTCCATCGCCACTGGCAGCGCTGGCAGCGCCAGCGGTGTGGTCGATGCCGGCGCGGCGTCGATGCTCATGGGGGTCGCAGTGGCTCGGCGGTGAAATGGGTTGAATGGTGGATTTTGAATTTTCGAAAGAAACAATTGGACATCACTATGAAGAATAAGTCTATAAGAGTAAGATTGATGCTTGTTTTTGATTGTTTTGGGGGGTCTGTTTAAGTCTTTCCTTTTTTGAGTTCCGGATTTTAGTTTGGTGGCTGGTAGCCTTGGTGAGTCAAGAGAGCCTCTGGAACGTACCAAATCACGTAACCAGCTGGCCTCGTTTACGAGGCCAGTAGCCAGAGGTGCTCTTATCACGCAAGTTTCCTCAACTTCACCCTTTCTATTGTTTTTTTTTCCAAAATCTGCCAGAAACATCCAGAAACCCTTCTATTTTAGTTTTGCCTGGAAATCGGCCACGCACATAGGGTACCCCCAATGGTTAATCAATGTTAATCATCATTTTCCCCAGGCCATTCAAATGTTGTGTTCGCATCGAATCCGCGCCGTTGAACCCAGGCGGTGGGAGCGGCCTCGCTTCTCCCTCGCAGCGCCCGAAGGCCGCGGAGTGTGCGACGGGCGGAAGAGAAGGGCGCGGTGCAGCAGCTGCTGGGGATGAAAGGCGCTGGGGAGACCGATGACACGCCGCTGTGGAAGCGACTCGGTTGAAAGGGCTGGAAAAAGTGTGGGAAAACATCCAAGACATTCAAAGACCCATTGGATCCCATTGATGTTTATTGGGATGTTTATTGATGTTTGTTGATGATTATTGTATTTTATTGTAATATTATGTAATATTGGGGTTCTACTGGGTTATACTATCTATTCAAGAGGGATCATACAGATCATACGAGTCCACAGTATATCCAGGTTTTTCACCGGTGAAACGGGGCTATGGTTTTGGAACATGTGGTGAATATTCGGAACAGCTGCAGGGCGATCGTCTTCAAACCACTGCTTTTCATTGTGTCCCAAGGATCCGATTGCAGCTGTGCAAACCAGTGACGTGGCCACCCCTGATCTTTGGTGTCATTGCCGGGGTGTGCGCTAGCGGAAACTTCGATTGGTCACAGGCCCGGCAAAGCGCGAACTGTGCATCCACGTTTCAGATTGTCCATCATGTTCCTCATGGTTTCCATGAACTTGTTCATTGCTTTCAAGACACATTACAACATCGTACACTTCTCAAATAATTAGTTGCATCCCACTTCAAGTTTTCCCCCAAGCTACCAGTGTTCCCCAACCGTCAAACGTGCCAGGCTTCTGGGGAAGATTATGCCAAATTTCTGACCTGTGTCATCCTGTCCGGCCCGGTGCTGGTGGGATACACGCAGACCCTGAACGACTGGTACGATAAGGATCTGGATGCCATCAATGAACCCTACCGGCCCATCCCTTCGGGACGGATCACTGAGGACTCCCGATATCCGGGATATCATGGGATTTGTCGCTGCATCCATCGGAGAACTCGGATTTTGAGGCTTCATCTTTGGGACATGGATTATTTATGGATTATTTATGGATTATTTGTGGATGATTTGATTCATGATTTTACCAAACATTTTCCCCACAGTTTCTCACACTCGTCCCACAATGAAGGAAGCATTTCGGATCAGCACCTGCCAGGAACAGGTCTGGCAGCAGATTTACATCCTGGGAGGCTTAGGCCTTTCCATGGCTGCAGCGCTGGACACGGTGAAAGGAGGTTTTTCTGGAGTATATAAGAGTTAAAGATCGTAACTATCTATAATTACATCATAGTGTCCACAGATTTACTGTACGTATATCTATATATGTTCATTTTGTCAAATTCCAAATTTAAAAACTTTGGCCTAGCAAAATACTTGTAGAAGCTTTAGAATCTTTAAAGCTGGAAAAATGGATCTGGAAACGAATGTTGTCACAAAAGCAAAAACACCCCATTCTGGATGGATCTCGTGGCAGTCATGATCAGTAATGACTCATCGTCAGCAGGACATATGGCAAGGCCATTCATTCCCCACGGTCTTCGCCGTTGCTGTGGTGGGTTGCTTCATGGCCTACATTTACTCGGCGCCACCGAGCCTCAACTGATGAAGATTGCTGGACTCATGCAGCTGTTTTCTCATCTCAACTCGTCGCAACTCCAAGATAACTATATATATAATTAATTATATATACTAATAATTATAATTGTCATAATTATTATTATTGTTATTACTATTATTTTATATGTTCATTATTATTATTATAATTATCATTATTGTTAGTGTTATTATTGTTATTATTGTTATTATTGTTATTATTGTTATTATTGTTATTATATATTATTCTTATCATTATGTTAATATTTTTATTACTATTATCAGAATCATTATATAATAGTATATATATATACATAATAATATTCATAATAATATTCATAATAATATTCATAATAATATTCATAATAATATTCATATATCCACATATATCTACATAAATCAACATGATTCAATAGTGATGCCTGAACTGGATCAGAGAAAAGTAGCACTAAACATCTGATTATCCCATCTTATCCCTCTCCAGTGACTCTCCACCAGGCTGAAACTGAAGCAGAACTGGATCAGCGGTTGCTATGCCCTGGGTTCCAGTTACATCGCCTTGCCATGGCTGGCAGGGCAGTGCACCTTTGGCCAGGCGCCTTGGCCATCAACATCCCATGAAATCTGTGTTGTTTTGGAAGTGGTTAAAAGAAAACATAGGGTTAAAAAAAACCATGCAAAATCAAGATTACACCATCCAAACTTAGGATACTTAAATTTACTTACTATGACTTAATATGATTTATATCTATACAGTACTTACCCAAGATCTAGTGAATCTAGTGCTGAACCTCCTTAAAAGCTGATGGGTCCTCGGTCCCAGGTCACTCCCGAGATCATCGCACTGACCTTGTGGTACTCGGTGGCTGCTGTGGGCATTGCCATCGTGAACGACTTTAAGAGTGTGGAAGGTGACTTGGTTTGGCAAAATTCAATGGATTGGTTTCTTCGGGAAAATTGTACAGGAAACCATGGGTTTTTACCATTAAATTAATGGGGTTTTCCTGTAAATTTCCCCCCAAACCAATCCATTGATTGTTGGGAAAATTGCTTGGCTTCACTGGCTGGTCACTGGTCACAGGTCACAGGATGTCACTGGAAAACGCTGAGGTGATCGGAAGCTGGGCTTGTCATCAGCACCGGTGGTCTTTGGCATCGATACCGCCAAGTACATGGCGCCTGTCATCAAAGACTCAGTACAGCTGACGATTGTGGCATATCTCTTGTACATTGGTGAGTGGCCATATGCCCTGGGCCTGTTTTGTTTGATTTTGCCCCAGGTCTATTTTGCCAAGACCTTATTTATCGAAAATCCCATTGAGAATGATGTAAAATATCAAGGCTCCTCTTTGCCATTCTTCAGTATTGGCACCATTGTGGCTGCATCGGCCATTGGGAACAACCCTTTCCACTGACGTGCTCCGAGATTTTCCCGCTCGGCAAACGCACCGTGTCGGCGATGAACCAAAAAATGCAGCTGTCATGACGATCATCACATCTCCCAGATAAGGCCACCCAATCTGCAGGTTACAACATGGACCCCATGGGCACAGTTGACATGTTGATTCTTAGAAGCCCAGTTCGGTATTGGGTCAATCCTCAGGTTGGTTAATATTGTCACCACCCGTTTCGTGAGGTGTAAGCAAGGAGGACGTACACAAAATGTAAGCTACAGCTTTGACCCCCTCGGGAAAAAACCGAGGGGGACGGCTAGGCCCCCCCCTAGGTACCAAAACAAGCACGCACGGACTTACATTTTGAGGGAGGTCGAAAGTCCGTAATAGATACGTCACCCCGTAACCCCCCCCGTTCCGCCCCCGACGGATACGGGGAGGGGGGAGGTAAAAATTGTTAAATGTTCGCAAGCAGTTTGTAAACTGTTTGTGAGGTGTCTTTGTAGGGATGTAATCAACCCATGTCTGAGGTCCATAGTTCCTTGCAGAAAATGCTCGAAAAAGAAGGTAAAACGAAGATAGAAAAATGTAACCATCCTACACCTGAGGCCCATAATTCCTTGCAGAAAGTGCTAAAAAAAGAATGTAAAAATAAGATAGAAAAAACACCATCCTACACAGTGTCCTTAGTTCCTTGCAGAAAGTGCTCGAAAAAGAACGTAAAAATAAGATAGAAAAAACACCATCCTACACAGTGTCCTTAGTTCCTTGCAGAAAGTGCTCGAAAAAAAAAAGCTAAGATAGAAAAATGTAACCATCCTACACCTGAGGTCTATAATTCCTTGCAGACAGTGCTTAAAAAGAAGGTAGATATGAGATAGAAAAATGTAACCATCCTACACCTGAGGTCTATAATTCCTTGCAGACAGTGCTTAAAAAGAAGGTAAAGATGAACCATAATACATTCAACTAAACATATATATGGTATTATTTGGTGCGAGATCATAAATCATGATTTAAGATTAACAAACTTGAAGCCTCGCACAAAATATGAAACACCAGTTCAGCACCTAAATGATCTCAAATGGACCTCACGAATTTTTATGGGGCCCCCATGGTAAGCCCCCTTTACAGTATGTACCTACATGATCGTCTTAGTTACACCTGCATTCCATTGTTTTCCCATAGGTAGAAGGTAAATTTGAAGACCTTCAGCATCTCATTTTGCATTTTTTGAAGTTGAAGGATTTTCCAGTAATTTGCAAGGAATAATATACCTCCTACACCTCTATGTTACATGTGGAAATGATCAAACAAAAGTAGAAAAAGTGTAGAATGCATTGGAAATACCAAGCAATCATAAGCAATCGGGGTCCTACAAACTTTTAGCTTACATGTTTGATTTTCTGCAATTCTGCAGCTATTTACAGACCTTTAGACTATCATTTTACTTTGCTTTTTCCTTCTCGCGTTTTTGTTTCAAAAATTCAAGCGTCAAGCTTACATTTTGAACGTCCCCCTAGTTAGGACATTGCGGAAAAAGTAGGGGGGACCTACTAAAATGAAAGTTTGCAATTGGAACGTACTTTGAAAAAATAAATGAAAGTTAACAATTCTTTCGTCCCCCTTCCCTTAAATACGTCTAAAATGTAGCTTACATTTAGGGTACGTCCCCCTATCTTAAAAGGGTAGTGATGATATGTAGTGATAATACATTATCCATCTATTATCCCAACATGTTCGCAGGAAAATCAGGGTTATGATCCCATAATTCTCCCATAATTATAATATAATTATATATCAATATATATATACATGTATGTACAGTATATAGTTTATCTATATGTATATGTATATATCCCATGTATTCTCCTCACGTTTATGGCTTTTGTGTATTTATTGGATCCCAAGATTTTCGAGGTCGCCACCGGTCGTGGCTTGCCTACGGAGCGGCGGCCCTTCCTGGGAGTCATCGGGGAACAAGGCCAAGCGCCAAGGGGTACACCGGGACGGCCGGTTTATGCCGGTTTTACCATTGAAAATGGTGGTTTTACCATTGAAAATGGTGATTTTATCATGGAAAATGGATGAAAATGGCACGGTTTAGTCTTATTATGCCATAAGCCCAGCAAAATTATGAGATTTTGACATGAACAGATGGAAAGGCCACAATAGTGAGGGATACTTGAGTACTACTAACATTTTTTTTGCAGTAAGCACAGAGACTATCCATCCACAGGTTTGATTAAGGTTGGCCATGAACTTCACAAAACATGAGCACTCAGAGCACTCATAAAATGTGACCCACATTTGACAGTTTTGACATCTATTTGACCCACATTAAAATATATTAAAGTGGTGAGATCAATGATTGAAGAAGATCATGAATCATCACCATCGGGGGTTCCCCAAAGGATTCCTTAGCACTGGATAGCGAGGGGCCTCGGCGCAGGCGAGTTGATCCCTGGCGGCTTGTACCTGGACTATGCTCGTCTCACGCCAGGGTGGCCCAGTATGGTTACCATGTTTAGCAGAGGGTGTCCCAAATGTCCAATGATTTGGGGGGAAAAAAATTGAATTCATTTTTGGAATATGGTAGGTTTCAAATGTTGGCTGAGAGGCAAGTTGTCAACCCATAATTTTGGGTGGAATATGTTTCGGGATAATGTTGGTTTTAATGTTTGCTAAGTTGAGATAGATTCTGTATCAACCACTGATTTTGGGAAAATTGTGGGATAGGTTGCTTTCAATTCTAGATAATTTTGGACAAATTGGGAAGCAACAATTTTATACAATTTTGGGATAATTAGGTTTGATTCTTGAGTTAATACTACTGATGATCATACTTGCTTGATTTTGCTCATAATTGTTGATGAAGCCCGGGATACAACCAATAATAAGGAATAACAATTGTAAATAATGCAAGACATAGAGTAGCAGTTCTCATTTGCCTATTTGGAATTCAAGACTGAATTTCACGTTGAACTCATTTAGATTTGAGCAACGAACACTTGGACTTGACTTGATCGAGCATAAATTGGTCCAACAATTGAAAACCATCAAGAGCCTCCACCTACACTTGAAGCAACAGGTACCGGCATTTGAAAATCATGATCATCGGCCCCAATCCGAGGTCCATCTGTTGTTTCCACCGGTTATATTCCGGTTCTGTGGTCCATTGTGGTCCATTGATGTCCCATGACCTGCAGGTACTATGATGGTGCGAGCCTCCTATTTCTGATGATCTTAGTGTTGGTCGCTGGTGGATCCTCAGCTGCACCGCTGCCCCAAGCTGCCACGCAAGGCCACGCAAGGCCACTGGGCCACTCGGCCACGGATCCAAGGAACAGAGAACACTGGGCCGCAACTGGTGGGAATTCTGGTGTCCTTGTGTTTGGTCTCCAGCTTAGTGCTCCAGACAAAAGCCAATAAGCCATGAAACATCGTGAAACCATCAAGAATCATAATGGTCAAAGCAGAAAAAACATGAAAAAGCCTGATCTTTTCAGGTGTTCAGGGTTTTCTCCAACTGAGCTCCTAGCTACTTCCCAAATGGAAAAAGCCAAGGTGACGGTGTCCTGGCTCCTGGCACCCTTCATTTTCAATCCCTACCAGTTCCGGCCCTCCTGCTGGATCAACGACATCAAGGTCTGATCTCTCAGCTACGGTGAGCTGAAAATATCTCAGTTATCGGATGAAAATGAGATAAGACGAACATAATTTTAGATTCAGGATACTTAGAAGATCTTAGAAGTACTGTACTAACAGCAATAGAACTTTAGATACTTGGAAGTACTAAAAAAGTATAGCGCTGCAGCATTTTCTGTATCCATTGCATCCATTGCTGTCGATGTCAAGGCTTGGACGCGCTTCTTCCTGGAAGACGGTGGCATGCACTGGAAGAAGTTGCGTCCTCAGCCGGGGATGAACTGGTCATACTGGGTGAAATGGGATATGTTTGAGACAGTGGGATATTCATGGGATATTCATTCATGGGATATATGCATCCAAGATCATCCAAGTATCAGTATATATCGGCATTATCTTTATTCATCCAATAGATCTATATCATTCCGTTACCATTTGTTCCTTTATCTTTCCAAGTGCCGCCGCGCCAGGTGGTTCACTGCCAATCAGCTGAAACCCAGACGTGGCTTCCGTGCCACGGTGCTGCAGATTGGTTTCATGATGGAATTGTGGTTTGTCAGAAGCTCAGTTTCAGTGGAACTGGAAGAAATATGCTTGACAGTTTTCATACGCGGATTTTTGGAATGGCCCTGAACATTCTTAAACTACAACGGAGGAAGATTTGATGGCACGTCATGTGTAGACTTCACGTGTTCAATGTGTGAGAATGTGGGAATAAGATGGAAGAAGTATGAAGAAGTCATGCTTTATATCCCATCATACCCCATCTAATACCCCGTCTATACCCATGTCAAACCCATCACAAACCCATTTCCCGTCACTTACCTAACTCTATCATTGTGCGGCTCCGAAGAAACTGGCGGCAGGTAGTCACCTGCTTTGCATCGTTGAACGCGAGAACGGCCGTGGTGTGCCAGGCAAAGGAAAAACCTCTGTCAAGCATTAGCCAAGTCATTATGGTTGGCTATTCTTTATATGTAGAATTTCATGTCAAATATCAGATCGAGTAAATTTATATTTACTTATTATTTGCATTTCAATTTTGGGGGGTATATTTATAAAGTTGCTGATGTTGGTATCTCTGCCACATCAGCTGTCGGCAGGTTTCAGACACGTGGCGGCTTTACTACTGGAACCTGCTGTCACCACCTGTTGGGGCAACCCAGCGGAGAGTGAATCAGCAGTCAATCGGTAAAACTCAAGCCGAAAGCATCCCAGGATATCCCAGGAACCAGCCATTTAGGAATCTTGTTAAATCATCTTAAGTTGGGGGTACAAAATGGTAGAAATATATATATATATAGTTATATATATATAATCAATAACCAACACCAATTATGTGGATGAAATACAGACAGCCAATCATTGCCCATAGCATTCGGATTTGGGATTTGGGGTCAGCCCGGCCCAGATTTTTGCACCGGTGCTCCTTTGCATCTTGCTTGGTTGCCCGAGAGCTCAGCAAATTGAGGGACTTGGAGAAGCGGAACGCCACAAAAAACAGGGTCCTGGTTTCAATACCTCTATTGTGGTTATTCTATGTTGTTATGATCACCGAATCATATACAATTATATATATAATATATGATATGTGATATATATGATATATGATATATGATATATGATATATGTATGTATCCAGTCGTATAATTATCTACTGTATTAATCCCATTCCCTTGATATTAGCCACATTCTGACTGGTCCCATTAAACAGATGTTTTTTTATCACTCCCAGGAACTGGGCCATCTTTAGGATTTCCACCTGGTTGGTCAAGGGACGAGCCAAGCCAGGCTGTGGTGCTTTGGGGAACTTGTGCTCTGAACGTGTGGCTTCTCAGCAACAGCTTCCAAGGGGATGATCAATTATTTGTTAAATACATTCTAATACTATATTAGTGCACACATACAACATATTATATATATACATAGAATAGAGAGTATATACATATTCGAATCGTATTTGATTACATCTATGTGCATCTGCTTATTTGTGTCATATATGTATACATATACATGTGTGCGTGCGTGCGTGCGTGTGTGTGTGTGTAACTGTAGGACTTACATGATGCAAGTATGGATGTGTTGTTGCTACTTTCGGTGGTTAGATTGCAGGTCGAAGCACAAGCGCACCCAAGTTTGATGAGACTTATTCGGTTGCAGTCTCAGTTTCAGGGTGTCGAATGAACATTTAGGGGAACCTCAAATTTTGATGGTTAGAAACCTCATTTTCCCTGGTAAACTGAGAATGTTCCGGGGTATAACCCATTTTCTGACACAGTTTGGTGTTTCAATTGGGAAAAAAAAACACCCCATTGATGTGCTGAGAATTCACTGCTTGAGACATTTATATATCCTCCATGTACCCGACCCATAGCCTACCTGCAACCCAAGGCTGCCCGGTCCACCTCTAAGGCTTTGGGAACACCAAAGGAGGAGGAAACGAGATCCCGATGTCCGCAGCAGTTGGGGCAGCCAGAACGGAACACCTGGGAAGTAGTGAGGGCGATCCATTGGATCCCCCGGGTGTTTTTGGAGAGAAAGGCTGGGTCCAGTTTCAGGTCAAATCCTCCTCCCATGGTTCTCTATGATTTTCAGTCACTTTTGCTGATCAGTCTTTATCTCCCCCCTTTAACTCACATTGACCCATGGTACCCCATGGTATCCCATGGTCAATTCCCTCCATCGCCCATGGCATGGCTTTTCTCGGATCATAAGGTGCCCATTGGTTTTGGTCTCCCTGCTGGTGGCGTTACTCACGATCGCGGAGTTGGCCGCACCGTTGGTTTGGGTCCGGCCCTCGGGCCCTCCCACCATCGCCACGGCCAGCTGCGAAGTATTTTTGGGCATCCAAAACGACATGAGTCACTTGAGAGATCTTTAGTGATGCCCCTAATATTTTTGGGAAGATCACTATAGGCCACCAAATTTTTGGAGCCAGAGCTGCGCGAGGTCGCATCTCTTGGTTGGAAGAAGGCCGAACAAAAAATCCCAGAGCGAGCATTGAGGGTGCAGTAGATCCTTACTGTCCCTACTTTATTGATCTTTTTGGGGGATATGTAAGGATATCGAAATCATCATTCATGTGCACATGTACATGCATAATAGTGGTGTCTATATGTTTATTTTCTATGATATAGTGCGAATGATGTACATCATTTCGCAATGGCCATGATGGTACTATCACAGAACAAACCATGAACCCCTAAATAGGGCCTATATTTCGATTCCAAAAATGGCCCCATCACGGCAAAGACAATGTAGCCAATCGGAAATAGTGAAGGATATTCTCGAAGAGCATGCAAAGGTCGGTGGAGCCTTCACAGGATGGCTGCAGGCGAAATGTTTCATTCCAGCTCCTCAGTACAATGATAACATCTGGGCCAGTCCAAGTCCCCTGCAACCCCTGCAGTCAGCGTTAAAGTGACAAAAGCAAGGTGGGCCAGAGAACCCAAAAGCATGACGGCACACAGCACGCCTTTTAATCTTGTGGTGTGGGCAGCTGTGCTCTGCACGAAATCGACGTAAGATCTGTACTGAAGCATCGTGCGCACTGACGGTATCAGGGGCCACAATTCCCCACAGCATGCTGTGTCAGCTACGTCTACATTCTTCTAGTCGCTTTTTCTGCTAATGTAATTAATTCCGTCCCATCTTATCTATTTCTGCGTTCTCATTTCGTTTGCTAGAGACCCCTAGAAAAATGTGACCACACCCAATCCCCTGCGACCCCTGCGGTCAATGTTGAAATTTGTCAATGTTTGAATACCGATCGAACAGACATCAATAGACATGAAAGGCTTTCATTCTGGGAGGTCTCCTCGATAGACATCAAACATTTATTCTGAAAAGTCCGCGGCATGTCAACATTGACTGCAGGGGTTCAAGGGGATCCCCTGCGGCTTTTCTTTCAACTAAGCAGCTGCACCTGCCAACAAACAGTACTGGGCCTTCCACAAACGCGCGTCGTACTACGCAATCATGAAGAGACATGCAAACTCAGATGTATAGACATATATATATATCAGATGTATAGACATATATATATATATATCGCCGCGCTAATCGTCGGGTTACGCCACGTCGAGAAATAAAATCAAATCAGTCTCAAACAACAGTCCACCACAAATGAAACCATCGACTGAACAGGTCCGAGTTGCCAAAGAAAAATTGCACAACGTGAAACCACCGTACTGAAAATCAAAATCAAGCAACCAACACTCAGATGTATTCCCTCGGGCTGCTTCCTTTCGAGGATCGAAGCAAAGATGCGGAACATCCATTCGGCAGGTGAGTTGTTACACACTCCTTAGATGTTTTGGACTTCCATGACCACCGTTCTGCTGTCAAAATGAACCAAAACCTTTTGTGGTATCTTGAACGTTTAAGCACCTTAGCCCAACGTTAAATTCATCCCTCATCGCCAGTTCTGCTTGCCAAAAACGGCCCACTTCTTCCACAAAAAATTGAGGCTCACGCCAAAAGCTGCATCGCAACCCTTGCGTCCATTCGGCAGGTGAGTTGTTACACACTCCTTAGATGTTTTGGACTTCCATGACCACCGTTCTGCTGTCAAAATGAACCAAAACCTTTTGTGGTATCTTGAACGTTTAAGCACCTTAGCCCAACGTTAAATTCATCCCTCATCGCCAGTTCTGCTTGCCAGAAACAACAAGAACAGATCAGGTTAGACATTATCGCAGCTGCAGCAACAGGAACTTGTTTTGGTAGAAGAAACAACTCTATACGCACTACGTTGCTACGCAAGGGCCTGCCTCATACCACAACCTCATACCAGGACCCCGAAGCGAATGTTACAACCTGTCGCCGGGGGGAAAAAAAAAAAGTCCAGCTTTCAACTGCTGCACTCATCTGGGCGCCTGCCACCGCAAAAATGCACATTTTCACCTGGGAGTCTGCCACCGCAAAAAAAAAGGTTAAGAAGGTTCAGCTTTCAACTGACGCACTCATCTGGGAACCTGCCACCGCAAAAAACCACAGAAGGTGTAGCTTGCAAGTGTCGCATTTTCATCTGGGAGCCTGCCACTGCAAAAACGTCAAGAATATCCAGCTTGCAGCTGTCACATTTTCACCTGGGAGCCTGCCACCGCAAAAAAAAAGGAAAAGAAGGTTTTGTTTTCAACTGCCACACTCATCTAGGGGCCTGCCACCGCAAAACCGTCAAGAATAGGCAGCTTGCAGCTGTCACATTTTCACCTGGGAGCTTGCCACCGAAAAAAAAAGTAAAGAAGGTTTAGTTTTCAACTGCCACACTCATCTGGGAGCCTGCCACCGCAAAAACGTCAAGAATAGGCAGCTTGCAGCTGTCACATTTTCACCTGGGAGCCTGCCACCGCCAAAAAAAAGAGCAAAGAAGGTTCAGCTTTCAACCGCCACACTTATCTGGGAGCCTGCCACCGCAAAAACGTCAAGAATATCCAGCTTGCAGCTGTCACATTTTCACCTGGGAGCTTGCCACCGCAAAAAAAGGTAAAGAAGGTTTAGTTTTTAACTGCCACGCTCATCTGGGAGCCTGCCACCGCAAAAACGTCAAGCATATCCAGCTTGCAGCTGTCACATTTTCGCTTGGGAGCCTGCCACCGCAAAAGAAAGGTCAAGAAGGTTCAGCTGGGAGCCTGCCACCGCAAAAAAATCAAGAATATCCAGCTTGCAGCTGTCACATTTTCACTTGGGAGCCTGCCACCGCAAAAAAAAAAAGGTCAAGAAATTTCAGTTTGCAACTGTCACGCTCATCTGGGCGCCTGCCACCCGAAAAAGGGAACAAATGTGCAGCTTGCAAGTGTCGCATTCTCATCTGGGAGCCTGCCACCGCCTAAACGTCAAGAATATCCAGTTTGCAGCTGTCACATTTTCGCCTGGGGGCCTGCCACCGCCAAAAAAAAAAGTAAAGAAGGTTAGCTTTCAACTTTCAACTACCACAGTCATCTGGGAGTCTGCCACCACAAAAAATGAACAAATGTGCAGCTTGCAAGTGTATCATCTGGGGGCCTGCCATCAAAAAAATGTCAAATCCAGATTGCAAAACAGAAGGTGGGATAGATTAGAACTTTTTTTTCACACAAAGGAAGATTGATATGATTTAAAAAAAAACCTTATTCTATCCCACCTCGACAAAAGTTCATCTACCAGATTTCAGGAAACTGGGAATTTTTTGTTGGTTTACTTCCAGGTGAGAATGCGACAGCTGCAAGTTGATTTTTCCTGTTATTTTTTTTCCGGTGGCAGGCTCCCAGGTGAAAATGTGACAGCTGCAAACTCGATATTATTGACGTTTTTGCGGTGGCAGGCTCCCAGGTGAGTGCGGCAGTTGAAAACTGAACCTTTTTAGATTTTTTTTTGCGGTGGCAGGTTCCCAGGTGAAAATGTGACAGCTGCAAACTGGATATTTTTGACGTTTTTGCGGTAGCAGGCTGCAAATATGTAGAATCCCAAATAAGGATCTTTATGCTCGCGTGCGTGCGTCTACTTACCGCGAAACAACGAGTTACACCTTACTACAACGTCTCCCCGTCAAAAACGTCGTAAACAACCAGCAAAACCGAAATCACATGGTTGCTTCCCTTGAAGCAAAACAAAGATGTCACATGTTGTGACTGCTTCTTACAAACAAAACAAACGAACTCACTCAAACTGATTTGTTTTGAGTTGGTTGGTTTGAAAAAAATTGTTCTCGTGGTGAATAAGCCATGAAACAAAAAAACGAATTCCGCTCATCCGGTGGTGACATTTCATGTCATGTTGAAAATGACGTAAATTACTCATTTTCAGACAAACCTATATTATATATATATAAGTTACCGGCTAAGACGCCAAGTCTAGAAGTCATCCTTCCAAGTTACGCGCAGAAAAAAACGCATGTGAAAATAAAACCAAAAATAACATGTGACATGCGGACATGTGAAAAACTGCCGTCGACAAGTTGAAGCTGAAACACACTTGCACATTCAGTTTTCTTTTTCCTGTCAAAGCATGGGGAAAATCTTAAATTGTTCCAAGCTGGATCACACTGGCACGGTGACACAAAACCCACTTGAATCCAAACATTTCTTGAGAAAAAGAAATGAGTGACCCCGTTTGCATTACACATGTTAAATGACAAGCAACATTCATTGATCGTTGCACGTTTGTTTAAACTGACAGTTGGTGCATTCATGTTTGTGAATCAGCTCACAAGGTTGGAACATCTCCAACTGAACATTTGACATTTAAAATACAAGACGGAAACGCGATAGTTTCACGCCAGCTTCATGGATGATCGCTGTGCTCAAGCCGATCTAAGCGTCACGTGCTAGGTCCCAACAAAGAGCGGGAAATCAGACAGGGTGGCACACTCTGTTTCAGAAAGCCTGCCGGGTCTCCAAACCAAAGTCCAAATGGTCAAGCGCAACGCTTAACCTATCTATAAACCGCTATTGACAAGTCAACTGCAAACGTCCCCCAGCGTTTTGCGCGAGCCCGCGCAGGCGAAATGCACATGGACATGTGATAAGAGGCATTTCGTGTGGAAATTTGCAGGGAAAATGCCGGACCCGTATTCCAAGGCAAGCATTTTGTGCGAGCCTGCGCAGTCAAAATGCACATGGACATGTCACAAGAAGCATTTTGTGTTATGTCACCCACACATTACTACCACAATTTCAGCGTTGATGCAAACGTCGGGCAAATAAGACAACATGTCGGTGAAAATGGGCCACTCTTCAATGGTATCTCCCTGCCAAGTGGCTGCAAAAGTAGTTGCACTGCTGGCCCGCGCATCTGATTGACACCGGCACACAAGGGCATCTTCAGCCCTCAAAAGATGAAGGTCGAAACTGCCCGAAATAAAAAATCATCATTTGCACAATCTCCAATGATGTTTTGTTTTGTTCCACGTGAGAAGAGGAGGAAATAAGTAAATAAAGGGAAACGAGGACAAGCAAATGACCACATCAGAGTAGTGAGTCCGTGCACAGCAG